TTTAAACGTCGCATGGCGCTTGTGATACTTTGCCTGGAAGGTGACGATATCGCGTCAATTAGGTCTAAAATCTCTGTAGATTTTGAATTTTTAGCGAAAAAAAAAGGACAATAGCCCCTGCGCATAAGCATCAATAATCATTCTAAACTCAAAAATCGGCATAATTCAGAGAAATGAAAGCAGAATAGTGTTAGGAAAAAAATCTTCGCATTCGATACAGAAATCGATTGCTACGTCAACAAACAGGATATTGTTTAAGGTGATTCGTCGAGTTCAAATGACCTGGTCGAAGTGGCATGTAATATATCGCATCAATTAGGTCTAAAATCACTGCAGATTTTGAATTTTTAAGTTCACCTTAAGTACTTTTTAAACTCCAAAATTATCCATCAACAAACAGTACAGTTTATAATACGTAAGATTAAGAAATGTGCTGTTGGGCGTGATACCACTATTCGACCTCCTAGGCGCTCGGTGTGCCTATTCGATTGGTTGAAGGCGTTTTTTATGCCGTGGCGTCTCTTCACACAAAATTCCAAAGACCTCTCGTGATAACAAGCAGATTTTCATTTGAAACTGTCTCTCCTTCAATGACCTTTTAGCATAAGAAGTCGAGACTGGCGATTTTAGTAAAAAAGCCGTGTGATCATTCGAATGTTCCCAAATTTCCTCTCAAAAAATATTTACATTTTTGAAAACCTCATCACTAGTATAGCAGCATATTATAGTGAGTAATGCGGCTGCTTAAGATCAATTTAACAAAATTTAATTGAAAATTGTAATTTTCTTAATTTTATTGAATTTCATTTATTTTTTAATTTTTTATAATTTTTATTTTTCATTTATTTTTAATTTAATTTTTTTTAATTTTAATATTATTAACATGTAGGAGTAAAAATAAGTAAATTTTTAGATTTACCATGAAAGCATGTTTTAAATATCTAGTATAAACTGATTTGATAAAAAATGTGTTCTATTTATTTTAATATAAATTGGATTATTTTAAACGTTAAAACTTGAAAAGATAAATACTATAGCAAGATAAATGAAAATAAAAATTGAAACTGAATAAAAATGATAATCTTTGGTTTTAATAAGTGTAAAAATATAGAGATTTAGTTCGAATTATTACTATTAATTTTTTTTTCATTTTTTTTAGTTAAGGAACGTTGACTTGTAAGAACAACCTTGAGGAGGGGGCTTGGAGGACAAAGCGCATAAGTGCAGATTTTTAGAAAATTGAGACTTTGATGATTTCACGTAAAACTAGTCTTAATGCATATTCTACGAGCAGACTCCTTTATAAATTGAAGAAACCGCACCAAGAACAGCCTAAAACTGGAAACCGCGTTTAGAGTAAAACGCATGTACAGTTTTGTTTTTGATGTACTGCACAGACTTCTCTATGCAGGTACCCTATTTTGGTGTTTTTGGGTGACCTAACCCTTCTATTGAAGGATGCCGGGTAGATTTTGCGATACATTTTGGGTTTATACTCTCATACATTTAATTTTTAAAAAAAAAACGATTTGTAGGCCATTATTACGCCCAACAGTCATTTTGGTGGCAATATGAAGTATGAATCATTTTAATCACGCATGATTAACGCAAAATGAAAGAATATCGATAGTGAGTAAAGGAAGGGGTAACTAGCACCTTAGAGGCCTGTTTATTAGTCGTTCTTGTACCCATCGATTTAGAGGCCTGACTTAACTCGGAAAAAAAAAAGGTTTTTCGACCTCGAGCCGTTACCTATCTATATTCTATCGCTACCACAGCATAGTCCAGGGTACGTAGAATCCGAAAAGCAGATGGGCGTAATAACGACCTATACGCCTATAGGCTGTTCTTGGTGCGGTATCCTCAATTGCCTACACTTGATACCTGATTTTTTTAGTACACAGCAATTTGAATTTTCGAGTAATTTTAGGACGCGAAACTGCCTTTAAACCTGACCACACTTCGCTGTCTACAAAATTACTCTTGAAGCATTTTTCATTTCAAAGGCATGGCTTCTGAACTTCAAACTACGTAGAATTCGACACTAATCTCGAAAAAAAAATTCCGTCCAAAATCGAGAAAAATTGACAGGAGAACCATGGACTAACTATTTAGGGTCAAAAACGAAAGTTCTTCGATCGAGCTGACACGAAGCTACTTTCCTTGGAAATGACCCGACGAGTCCGATTTTTTGATCCAACAAGCTCCACGAGTCTCTTGGTTAGCGCGATCGGCAAAAAACGCGTATTTCGTGAACTTTCACCAAACGGTCAAAAACACTCGTTTTCGGCCGTTTTTCGGCTCAGGGAGCTCTGGCGAGTCTCGGGACCGGGCGCAATCGATTCTACGTCTCAAACTACGTAGGATTCGACACTAATCTCGACATTTTTTTCCCCCTCCAAAATCGAGAAATATCCACAGGGGTACCATGGACTTTTTTAGGGTCAAAATCGAAAGTTCTCCGATCGAGCCGAAACCAAACTAGTCCGCTTGAAAATGACCCGCTGAGTCCGATTTTCTAGTCAGAATAAGCTCCACGAGTCTCTTGGTTAGCGCGATCGGCGAAAAACGCGCATTTCGTGAACTTTCACCCAACAGTCAAAAACACTCGTTTTTGGCCGTTTCTCGGCTCAGGAAGCTTCGGCGAGTCTCGGGACCGGGCGCAATCGATTTTACGCCTCAAAATACGTAGGATTCGACACTAATCTCGAATTATTTTTCCCCCTCCGAAATTGAGAAAAATCCACAGGGGTACCATGGACTAAATTTTTAGGGTCAAAATCGAAAGTTCTCCGATCGAGCCGAAACCAAGCTAGTCCACTTGAAAATGACCCGCTGAGTTCGAGTTTCCGATCCAGAAAGCTCCACGAGTCTCTTGGTTAGCGCGATCGGCGAAAGACGCGCATTTCGTGAACTTTCACCAAACGGTCAAAAACACTCGTTTTCGGCCGTTCCTCGAATTGGGCATTATGTTCGAGCCTCGGGACTATGCGCAATAGATTTTACGCCTCAAAATACGTAGGATTCGACACTAATCTCGAATTATTTTTCCCCCTCCTAAATCGAGAAAAATCCACAGGGGTACCATGGACTAAATTTTTAGGGTCAAAATCGAAAGTTCTCCGATCGAGCCGAAACCAAGCTAGTCTGCTTGGAAATGCCCCACTGACTGTAATATAGCCAAGAAGCTCCACGAAATCACTGGAGCCCTTACCTAATTAACAGATAAGTGGATGCGTGTAAAACGGTCAAAAATAAGTTTTTCTCTACTCAGTAAGCTCCGGCAAGTCTGCGCTTAAGGATCTAGGATTAAGAAAGCTAAGAAGTTCATCACTAAGTTTGAACTCTCGTCCGAATGTTAGAGTGAGTAATGTAATGAGATGCGAAACTAATTTCTGAATGTATTGAATGGCTGAATCAAATGTAGCCCCCCTGGTAAAACTCGGCAGTAGAATCTGTGTTCCAAAATACCATAGACCTACAGCCGGCTTTAAGATTTCCAATAGCTTCTATAGCCGGCTACACAATTTCTTATCGCCTTTCACAGCCGATGGTGACTAAGCAACAGCCAGGCGATAAAGTGTATGCTAAACGTTGCTAATTACGGATGCTAGGACTTAGTGAGTTTTTGGACTACTGCTCTCTTTTTGGGCCGTAGAATCTTGATTCATTTTGCGAGGAAAGCTCCGTACTTTTGATAGATGCCTGCCATTCCTAACATATTAGAGCGCCTTCAGTTTCGTGTGATACTGTGCAATACCTCCGGTGTGAAATAGTTGCCTCAAGCGCCATGGCACGCTGCGGCCCGGCAGGCGGGCAGCCAGCGCGAAACGCGCATTGGCGTCTACAAACCTAACAGGGATACTTCACGCGTTGCGCAATGCGGGAAGTATCCCTGTTAGGTTTGTAGGCGCCAGTGCGTCGCGCGTCGCCGCGCCGCTTTATTGTTTATTGTTTATTGTTTATTGTTTATTGTTTATAAGGTTCGCCCGTATGAGGGCTTGGCCTTAGTGCGTGTTAGGCTCTAATATTTAATCTGGCGGAGTCAGCGTTATTCAACTCACGATTTTGAAATGTTTGCACATCCTGTATCGATTATTCTCATTTTAATTGATGAAAAAAAAATATGCATTAAAGGAAAATATAATGTGTGTTTTGTACATGTTAAGGTGGTTCTGCATCAAACTTAATGATTTCCAAAGCACACGAATTTCTACACAATTTCTTATAGCCTTCAATAATCGATGACGAAAAAGCAACAGCCAGGTAATAAAGTGTAAAGCCCGGCAATAGGAACTATAGCCCGGCTGCATAATTTTTTATCGCTTCGTATAGCCCGACCGTATGATTTTTTCCGCATTCTTCAGCCAGCTATATGATTTTCTATTGCCTTCTTTAGCCAGCTATAAGAATTCTTATGGTATTTTGAAACGTAGCTCTTATCGCCAATTTTTACCAGGGCCCTTCATTTTTCATCCCCTTTTTGGTCACTCCATCACATTTCAAGAAATTTTGCAACCGTGATTAGTACCTTTTGGCAAATCCAGACTCACAACTTACGTCCTATCAATAATACAAAATGTTTACTTCAGTGCACACAATACAGTAATCCATATAGGTTACAGATATTTCAGAATCTTACACTCAACATGGAAGCTTGTGCTCAATTGCATTATAACTTAGTGGAGCTTAACATGACAACATGTTTTTCCTCTTATTGATACATTCAAGTTTTGTATTGAAAATTTCATAGGATTTTTGTTGAAAGTAGAGCAATTTTGCTATATATCTAATTCATTTTTCAAAATTTCGGGCTAATTCATAAAAGCATCTATCTGCAAAGAAAAACTGCCTCTTAACTTGCACCGTTTCAAATCTTGTGTAGTTGAACGGGTGCATCAATAATATCCAGGCTCAATAATTTTCAATTGGATGTTCTGATGCTAACTTATCTACTTATTTACAGTGGGTTTACAGAGCCATTCATAAAGAGAAAGTACTTAACTAGCAAAAATAATATTTATTACATTGAACTCATGAAAGAAAAAATGAACAAATATTGACAGACGAAATTCCAAAAAATATTATGTTAGAGAAAAATGATGAGTATAAAAGTACCGCCGTAAAATAAGTCTAGAGCTTACATATGAAAAAATCATGACACAGAAAATGAAGGTGTATCACTTAATATTTTAAAGAAGAATAGGGAAAAAGAAAAAGAAATTCACAGGAATTATGAACTAATTTACAACAACTCCCCCAAGAACAAAAATGATAAAGTTCAAAAAAGGCAAAAAAATGATGAACATAAGAAAAAAGTAAGGCGCAGAAGAGAGAATTGGCATCACAAAGTACTTCACATATTAAATAATTTACTAATGCAGTCAAAAAGGAATAATTTGAAGCATCTTCTCTGCAAAATTTGTCATTAGAATTTAAATAGTGAAAACAAAAATGTTGAAATTAACTCCAGACTGAGGAGTAAAATAAGACGGACAAAAAAAACCTTTAACAACAATTATTAAGACAGATAATGTTCATTAAAAAACTTTCTTTTAAAATTTTACTTCTACTTCGTCACTTCAACACATTACTACACTTAAAAATAAAAAAGAGAAGACAAATTTTAGTGCTTGAAGGCCTTCATCAGTTCTCTATCAGTCATTGTCAAGCTAAAATAAAGAACATTTACAGAGTTACAAAGATTAACACAAGTTTAGAGTTGTAATATTCTTGAGTTCAAATTCATACACTTAGAAAGAGGAGATAAATTAACAGATTCAACTGGAATCAGCCTGTTCACATTAGACATTGCCTAATTTTCTCTGATGTTTTATTATTGGAACAGAATATTAATTAATATTTTGTGTGGATATTCTTCATGATCTCGAACAATTCAAAAATAGTTTAAAGATGTAAGGTAGTTTAGTTCCCTGATGAAAAATAAAACATACACAAAAATTCAGCTATATGAAATGTTGTTAGACTGATTCTGATAAAATTGTTCTACATAGTCAAGCGGTATATCATACTCAGTTGGTCCAGACTTTTAAAAGACCGGCAAGTTCCCCATCAGGCACGAGAAATCTATCATTAATTTTGACAAAAATTTCCTGTAGGTATTTAAAATTGAGACTACTTGGTATTGATAATGACAATGGCGTGGTCAAAAGATGAAACTTTACCTAGATATTTCAAAATAGATAAAACAGAAAATGATCGCACTGGTCCAAAAATCTTAGTCGGCAATCAACACAGATGTGGTCTATCGAAAAAAGTTGATGAAATCATCCACCATTACAGTGCATACCATGGTTTCACCTACAGCAGCCTCATTGGCAGACAGATAAAAGCTCTGCACGGAGAAAAATAAAATTGCTTATTTAACAATTCGAGTGCTAAAAAAAGTGACTGCAATGTTTCAACGTAGATTTCACAACAAAGAATGCTACTTTAACCACTATTGTAAGCCAATTTAACTACAGGTGTGGTTAAAGTAGCATTTTTGTGTTGTGAAATCTTTATTGAAACATTGCACTTTTTTTAGCAATTGAATTGTTTTATCAGTAATTTAATTTTTTCCGTGCGGTCACTTAACTATTAGTGCTGATAAGACCATGGTGGAGGAAATCATGGTATGGAATGAGAAGACATTGGAGGATGTCATCAACATGGAATTGTGAACTGCGCTTGGAGATACAACAGTGAGCAAAATGGTCATAATTTATTAAACCTTAAAAATAATTCACAAAAAAATATGATACATGAAAGAAGGGATGAAAATAAAGAATTGAGCACGAGTAACAAGTAGAATGAAGTGTTTGATAAATAGGAAAAAAATAAAAAGAGGAGACGATCATCAGAGAATCCTAAAATCTCTCTCTTCTTGTCATATTATGAACACATACTTGCTGCAATAAGGAGCATAACTTAATCACAGGGGTTAAGGGTTTACTTGGAACATAGTACCATGAGTAATAGGAAATAATTACAATATTATACTAAATGTAACATACACTTCAGATGAATTCATTTTACCGAGTTATCAATACTGAGTTTTTAATTTCGAATTCTTCAATTTTTAAAAGCTAAAGCATGACTTTCAAGGAATTCAACGTCACATTTCAAGCGATACAACTACAGGCACTAAAGGCATAAGAAAACATCAAACCGTGAAAGAGATTAGGAAAGGTTGTACTTTACAAATATTTAGTCAGGGAATTGGAGGGAGTTAACTAGAACACTCAATTTGAGAAAAACAAAGAAAACCCTTAGGTATTACTAACGCTGCAAACAAATACCTCCTCCTTTTCCTTCCAAACTCTTGTATACTTCAACATTGTGAATAGCTTTATCATTGTAATGGCGAAGTGGTTGGAGCATAGGAATACCTGAGAAAAAGTCTGACGAACCTGAATTCTTAGTATCCCTATTTAATAATGCTTTGCCTTGACACTCTGCTTTGGCACAATAAAATTTTACTCTACCATTTTGCGTTACTTGACATCCAAAATCTTGCAATGAGCCCGACTGAAATCTGCAAATGCAGCAGACGACGTTAATTTTTGGGGGATTCTTCAACTTGGTAAAATTATAATCATTCGTGGCATAGTCGACATAATGTTCAATGTTGAATTCCTTTCGACATATCTTACAGTTTTGCCATTTACCCGGATGTTGATTCTCCCAATGATGATGGCAAATAGTGTACTTCCTGTGATTTCTGATGCAACTGACTCTTAAGAAAGACCCTAGTTTGTATTTGTACTCGTCGTCACAGATCCAGGTATTGCAACAATCGGTTTTTACAAGGTTGCGGGATTTACTACACAGCCCGCAGCATGGTGGACGTTCTATGAAGTACTGTGCCACTATCTCTTTCTCTTCAGGTCTCAAACGTAAATTGCACAAGGCCTCTTTGTGCTCCTGCATGAGCTTGTAAACATCGGGATACGCAATTCCATCCTTGTTTTTGACGATCAGAGCACCTAAACTTCTTAAAAAGAACTCCACAATAGTGTTCAATTCTAAAGCTTTCGCTTTTCCCAAAATTTCGATGAAAACTGCTAGCTCTTTCTTTGTTTTGCCAAAGACAAAAAACATAAATTGGCGAGGGAATAATTTTAACATTACTGCTACTTGATCTCTTGATAGATGGGGCGCAGCTTCTGCCAGAGCGCCTATTGCGGATGGCTCATCGACCACAAACTTGTAGGAGAGCAGTGCCTCTTCAACAAATTTTATGAGATCTTCATTATCACGAAGAATAATGGAATCGAAAGTAAAGTCCCCTTCGCCATTGGCAGAGATAGAACTTGGAGCGATTGATTTGAAAAACGGAACCAACTTACGAACTCGAGTTCGATTGTCCCATAAAACCGTTACCAACGGTAAAATTTTCCTGTCAGGGTCAGATGAGACTTGCAAGTCAGTGATGAACGTTCCACTTAACATTGTTGCGAGTGCTTGGATACCTTCATCAGTAATTTTATTGTTTTCTAGATTCAATCGATAAAGCGGGCCGGATTTGAGAGCACAAGTCAAGGCCTCCGCTCCCTTATCAGAGATCATATTATCAGTTATCTGTAGATCCAAAATTTTTGTTTCACCCAAGGCCTTCCCTAATCTTTGGGCTCCGTTATTATCAATTTTGTTTCCGCACAACTTGAGGTGTGTAATTAGCGTATCTTTCAGAGTGTTAGCTAAAACAACAACATTCATTCCAATCAGACAGTAACTAAGATCCAAATGTGTGAGAGGCGTGTTCGGAAGGCTGGTCGCAAGGATAGCACTATTTTTTTCAAAGTAGGAATGACTAATGTCCAAAAATTTTAGAGCAGAGCCCTTGACACCATCAAAAAATTCTGCAACGAGTGAACCCTGCTGTGTTCTGGTAAACCCACCTCTCAACACTAGCCGTTCGAGCTTTGAACCTTTGATTCCTCCGCTGAGGATCAACATCGTTTCTGCAGAAAAGTTGTTTTCAGAAAAGTCAACCTCCTTGATTTCTGTTTCTTTGATAATGTTTGTAAATTCTGATACGGTTGGTGACCCTAAATAATTTTTACTTAGAGTTATTTTTGTCACTTTTGAAGATTTCAGACATTTCATGAGGTCCTGACCCATTTTATCAGCTAGATTACACTGATGGAGATTTAATTCAGTTAAAGATGTATTTTTCAGGAAGTCAGGTAGAGAGAACATGGCATAATCGCATATTGTATTTTGAGCAAAATGTAGTACAGAGAGGTACGAGTCCTTCAGACAACTTCCAAGAATATTTGTTCCAACAGAGTCATTTTTTGTCAAGTTCAGCTCTTTCAGTTTAGAAAAAACCAAAGCTCTTGACAAGATAGTCACCCCAATGTCCGATATTTTATTCTCAGAGAGATACAGCTTTTCCAATTTGGACCATCTTAAGGTCTCGATCAAAGGTCTTAGGTGTTCATCTTCAATATCATTACAGCACAGATACAATTCAGTGAGTGATGTTTTGGGTAAATTAGTAAACAACTCAAACAGTGGAGTGCCAGTGCTGTGGCCTTCAATACTTCCTATGCCAGTTTGATCAATCCAAAGATGAGAGATTGAAGTTTGAGGCAAAACAGAGGCTAGATAATGGCCACCTTGGCTGGTTAGGAGCGAGCTACCTGTCAACCTGAGGTGCGTCAGTTTTGAATTGATGATGTGCTCAAAAAGCGCCTTTGCTGAAGACTCGAGATAGGCCTCTGAGAACGAAACTTGTGTCAGGTCTAAGTTTGTTACCTGCGTGTTTTTCAGCGCCTCCATCAAGACTAAAATGTCCAAGACTCTGAGCTGGCAGCCTCTGAAACTCAACTTATTCACCTTCGAATGTTCCAGCTCTTTGATGAAATCTGGCATTCCCCACTGGAGATTGGAATTTTCAGCTTTGAATTCTGTTACCTGAAAGAGCAAACCAATGGGAATGATTAATATTTCCTTTGTTAAATATCCAGCGACAAGAAATAATTTTGCTAAATCTGATAATTTATAATAAAAATAGATAGTTCGTAATACATTTTTCAAATTTTATTAGAATGATGATAATATAACTCGAAATTTGCAAACTTTCCGATGAATTTTGTCTGTTAAGATCAAATAACTTGCTAGTACTAAAAAAAGGCACGGCAAACTTTCTGTGGTGTTTCTTTGAGTTGGTTGAAAGAACAAAATGTTGGGTGTGGCTCTAATTTCTCCCATTGAATTTCAACCCATGCCTCTGGGAATAAAAAGAAATGAATGGGCTCATGGTACTTTTCAGATTCAGAATATCCTGTATTTTCACTATGAGTTTCATGTGAATGTCTGATTCCGCATATCAACTGTTAAACTGCAAAAATGCGAATCTCAGTTATGGTGTTTCAAAATCTCCACTTTCTATTTTATTTCTTAAAAGGAGATTGGATCAACATTAGGGCTTAAAATTTTCATAGAATATTCTTTTCATAGAAAAGAAAAACTATTGAATTTTCAAGAGGTAATATTTGGCCATTTTCCAAGTTAAATACGAAGTATGACAGGAAGTGGGCAACGATAAAAAACAAGATACATATTTTTGCAGTTTCAGCACCGATATGTACTTTAATCGGCATTTTCCATTTCAATTCTTTGAGTTATTTTGTTCTTAACTGTTTTGATAACCATGGCATAAATTTTCACACAACTCTCATACAAGATGTATCCTTAGCCAATGTGAATACTGAATTAGATGGTCTTATTCCAGCTGATCTGTCGGAGTCCAGCAAAACCGAACTAAATCAAATTCAGTTTTCAAAATCGGTCAACTTCTTCTTTACCCTAAATAAAACTGAATGTATGGTACATTAATGAAACTTACAGGAATCGCTGTACTTAAGATAAAAGATCTTTGGGTGGAAAAATAAAATCTGTTCTAACTTTGGGGCATTTTCCAGAAAAAGGAAAAGTTGCTTAATTTTGAAAATACTGTGATGGACTGGTTCCTTTCCGCTAAATGCTGTTCTATTCTGACTTATACACTTTGATGTAAAGATGAAAAGCGGGAAAGTTGTTCATAAACTGAAAGTTTAGCATCTGGAGACTACTTGAAATTCACTTTTTTTCTCACAAAATTGGATCATTTTGACACAGGAAGGAAAAGTAGGGAAGTACAATTTGAGCTTCCACACTTTCACAAGCCCACTTGCTGGCTTTACTTACTTTCCTTACATGCTTTACACAAAATTACCCACCAATTTCCAAAATGATGACCTTTCCTTTTTTCCTTTGACTTCAGACTTTCAGAAGAACTTTATTTACCCTATTTTTTCTGATTACAAGATTTTCCTGGCCACATTGCATGAGCGGCCCAGATGAAAACTGATAAAAATAAACTAATTTAAACTGACCCTTTCCAAAACTGATCCGATTGAGTATGCGATTCGGGGGAATTATCTTCCAGAGGTTTCAGATGGGGCATCTTCCACTTATTGCTAGCTGCTAGAGCCAAAGATTACTTAAGTTGTTCTTCTGTACCTACCATTTTTTTAAAGATAATTGAAGTCTCCAAAAATGTATTTTTAACTTCAAAAATCATGTTTAATTTAAACTAATAAAAAACTGGTACATGATTAGAGTAAATAAGGGTAACTTTTGGCTTCCTCATCCAAAACAAGGTGAGTGTGACCCCATCTGGCACCTGGTAAAAAAATTTTACCCCTCTTTCCAGATTAGACACGAAATAAATAGTTGGATCAGTTTAAACAATGGTATGCAGACTAATTTATTATGCCATTGGACCTGAAAAGCCTAACTATTGTTAGCAGCAGGGGAATTTGTCAGACATGTGGCACATGATAACTGATATGCTTTCGGCTGCTAAATCTGAGAACGACCATGGTTTTCCTCTACCATGAGCCAGTTATGCAGAAAATTAAGGGTGATGAGGAACCCAGATCATTTTGGGACTGACAGCTAAAACTTTAAAAGCCATAACCGAACACATGCTCAACATTTTAAAAAAAAAAATTGTTTGCAGACCGATGTTGTTTGTCACAAAGTCAATGTTCACCTCTCACAAGGGTTTATTTTTGAAGGTCATTTTCTGAATGCCAAATTGTCTGTGTTATTCCGAAAATTGTTCTTAGGTTCCACAAGGACAGAGGAGACAGAATTTTGCGTTGTTCCAGCGACCAAAACTTAGAATTTTTACTGGAGTTGGAGTTGAAAACTCCAAAATTACCTGCATTTTCAGGATGTTTCCCCCATATTCCTGAATTGGGGATACTTCCTATTACAAAGACTCCACAAACTAAATGAGCAGATTTTGAAACTCACTCATATCAAAAAGAAAGAGAACTGTGACCTTTAAGACTAAGAACTCAGGAATGAAGTCTTCCTGCGAAAAAAGAACTACAGGGCACAAAATGTGAGGAAAAATATTTAATCTTGTTGAGAGTAATCTAAAGTGTAAGTACCTGTGAATCTGGAAGAAGATTGAAGATAGTTTTCATTTGCGCGGTTTCCAAGCCCAGGTTTCCAACATCGATTGTATTTAAGCCAGTTTCAGTGATGCATGCTTTGATGGCATGCACCAATGGTGGAAAATACTCTGCAAAATAATCCGGATGTTTCATTTCCTCCCCTTCAGTTTGTCCATCTCTTGAGCTGCCACCGGTTGCTTGAGAATCCTGAGATTTTGGAAGCTGCTTTTTTTTTGGCTGAGAGCTGCGGGGTTTTCGAAGATCTGATTTCTTACTTGCCATACTTGAAGGAATCCAGGTTAGGTCAGAATAATATTCTGCAAGGAAAAAAGAGGAATTAACGGTTTCATCAATTCAAAAAACCTGATTTAATTTGATAAGAGAAATGTTCAGCAGGGATTCAAACTTTTTCATTTTGAATGAATGATTTTTATTTGCACAAATAAAACTTTACATAGGAAACACTGCCAGAAGCAAAAAGAACTTGTGGGGCAAATTGAACAGACACATTTTACGAATAGAACAATGGAAAAAACAATTGTCTGAGTCCCTGACATTTTTTGTTACACCGACTCTGAAACTTCAGAATGGACCACTAGACAAAGTACAAATTTAAGCAATCTGACACATGTTTCTTAACCAGAATTTTACGTAGAACACGATTAACGCACCGAATATTACTGAAACTTACTCCTATCAAAGATATCAACGTTTATATTTTACATTGGTTACGAGGAATTTGAACTGCCCGCTCACATGAAACTCAAAGCTCTACGTGAGTCAAATCGCGCAGTAAAACGGTTTCAGCAAGCTTCTCAATCGAGCAATATTCATTTTCCACCATGTGTTGTTCAAACTATAAGTAATTTGCTATAGCTGAGCCAAAGCGTTAAAATTGAGGTTGCGAGATTTTTAAATTGCAGATACTGTCATGATAACGTTTAGCGCGCGATGTGAATCACGTAGAGCATTGAGTTTTCATGAGCAGGTGGTTTGAATGTACGCATCAAGAATCGTTACATATCTTCGTAAGGAGTTGATTTAGGTAATTTTCGTTGTGCGCATCGAGTTTTACGTGAAATTTTGGTTAAGAAACATGAATTAGAATGCTGAAATTCGTACCTTGTCTAGTGGTCCATTCCCTGGTCTTTTTTCACCTTTAATAAAAATTGCCACTTAGATTTTCTCATTTTCACTGCACTTATTGCTGGACCCCAGATGAAATCTCCACTTCAAGAGATCAAAACTGAGGAGAAGCCTTTCGAAAGTTGTTCAGGCTCTGTTGATTGGCAACAGCTGAGGTTACTGTACAAGGACCTGAATTCCGACCTACACACATCATGTGGACTGCCTACCAGAACTTGAAAGTAGGTATGTTTGATACCCACGAGTACCAGCTCAACATCATTTAACCCTTTATCAATACTTGCTGCCTGAGGATACCTGTCGATGGTGTAAGTCCGCAATCACATAACTCGGTTTGCGACATTGCAGACTTCCTGTCACACTTAATTTAATAAACGGAAAACTACTCAACAGCAATTCCATAAGACTGCTGTGATTTTTCTTCTCTGTGCAAAGAAAATTCTGCAAATACTTCAAGGAATTATGTCAATTAGTTCTCCTATAAAAAATAACATACAGGCAGAGATTTTCAGACACTGCAAACGAGATATGTGATTGCAGACTTACGCCGTCGCTATGTCACTAGCCTGTTTCAGATAAGTTGTCTTTCCAGCAGTATACATAGTGACCAAATTCCAAACAACAAAAAAGGACAAGTCATATTTAAGAGGCTCTTGGAACGAACCTTACATAGACCATCACTGTCTTCAGCAGCGATATTCATTCCTTATGCTAAGTATGAACCCTCATGCAAACTCCTCCTAGAGCTTCATACAGAGCACCGGAAATACATCAGGAAGGAAAGATGTACATCCTTCTGAGGTGGAATGTCAACACCATCAATACTAGTGATCGTTTTCAGTGCTTAAGTATCCGTGATCCCAAGTGCGCCTATGCCTGACACCTGTGCTATATCTGTGCCTAAGCTCTCTGACTCAGCTTATGCAAGCCAGTGCCACCAGTCCCATCAACAAATCTTCCCTAGATAAGGAAAACTTTTCCCCATTTACTATCGATCCGTCCAAGTATAGGGAAAGTCTGCATAGTAGGGATAAATCCGTAAGCCTGGGAACACTGGTTCTGATTGAGCTACATATGCTTGACTAATTCCCTTGATCTTCTCTCGATCTCACTTCATCAAACTGAGAAATCGCAGGCAGATAAACCCTTCAACTATAAGTACCTGGGAACATGTCCTCCATATGGCAAAGCTGAGGGTGTCTGAGAAACTGTGATGAGAAGGATGAGAAAGACAGATGGCACACCGTTTCAGTGAGATTAAATGAGCGTCACTGATATAAACATGGAAAGCGTGAGTACAACATCAAGCCCCATATCTTCAGAAAGTTAGTGGTTGGTGAGAGACGGAGAGACACTCGATTCGGTGACCTGATCTGGTGTTGGCTCGGTGGGATTCGAGATACTTACATGGAAAACACAGAGAATGAGCCTTCCTTGTGGCAAACGAGGTGATAAAGATATAAAGCAACGAAAGTTAAAAGAAAAAGAAAGTTCTCTCCACTTTGATCACTGGGAAAACAAAAACAACAGCACCGTAAATATTACCTTCTATGCTTCTGGATACTTGAGGTGGACAATAGTCAAAATTCTGGCATTAAATCTGCTTACGCTTGGTACAATTTCACGGGTTTCAGCAATTCACGTTCACGAGATCACAAAGAATCAGTAATTCAGTAACCACATTCACATTCCACGAGCACGAGGCAGGAGGTTGAGGAATGCAGGAAAAACAAAACAACACAGGTGAAACGTGAATCATACACTGCGCATGCGCCGGCCCGCCAAAACACCGCCACTGAGCTGATGTTTTTGGATTCTCCAGGATAGTTTTGGAATGGTTGATAAAAAGGGAAACGCGGGAAATATGATTTTGCGGCAAATGTTCATAGGTCCGCATCGAAAGCAAGAGGTTTGCCGACAAGACCCAAGGTCAAACTCGCACTCTGTTTGAGAAAAAAGGCCGCGGCCTGCGTGCCATAAACCTGTCGAAGCGGCGCGGCGCGGTGCGATGACATGGGTTCTTCCGCCCTTTTGTCTATCAGCAACCCTCGACTCCGTCGCTACCCCATTGTCTCATGCCTACCTAAATCTGACCCTCAAAATTGAAAGACAGCATGAATGCAATTTTTTTTATTGTTCAAAAAATGTTTTTACAATTTACATATTTTGATTCGCGGTGAAATTTTGAGCAGAATGATACTCAGAATAATGAAAATACATGATTCTACGGCATAATAAGATCCGTACCACTACTGCTGCATTAGCAACTTGCTGACCGCTATTCCCGTTCCATATCAACAAATCACGAAGAAATTTAGTTCATTGTAATCTAATTTTTTGGCAGAGTGTAAATTTATCGAGAAAGTTGAAATCGAGCCCGATTTGAGAAATTTCAACAATTCTTTTGGAGCTCCAAGCAGAAGCCGATCAAGCAGAAAGAGAGGAATGGGTGACGAATTGAGATCCACTAGCGCCGCCTGGTCGCCAAGCCCATGCCGAGGCCTGCAGCTGCTTTTGTCGGCAGACAAATCGTCTTTTGTTGCATGGAAACAAGTCAAAACATGATTTTCCGACCAGGGAGTGGCATCCAACCGTCGAATTAATGCTCTCACTGTGTCTTCATTGGGGTTCTTTATAAAAAGCCGAAAAGGGCCGTAAAATAGTTTGCAAAAAGCCAAAAAAGGCCTCATTGTGATGGCAGTGTTTGCAATTGAACCGCTAGGTGCTAAAAGGGCATTTCTTCATTGCGGTGTCTCAGACTCTCCGCTGACGTTCAAATTTTGGCGTGAATTGCGATGTATCGATTGTTCTGCCATTTAAACCTATGATAAAGAATCGACTATTAAGGTGTTCGCTGCGAACACCCTGTTTATCCATCCTTCTCTATGGGTTTAAATGGCATAACAATCGATATATCGCAAGGCACGCCACGCCACTGAGGGTGTCCAAATCGGTGTGTGTACGTCGGGATGTGTAGGTATAATTTAGGGGTCAACTCTTCGCTTTACAGGGGACTTTTCCTTCGTAAGATTTTTTCAAAAAGCGAGCCCCCCCCCTAGCAATCTCTACGGTGTCAATATTGACAGCTCTAATGCGAAACCACGTATCTTTATTAAAGTGTTTCAAAATCTCCACTCTTAGCTAATTTTTGCAAAAACATACAGTTCTCCAAAGAAAAAATAAAGTATTGACAGGAAGTCTGCAACATCGCGAACGGAGATACGTGGTCTCGCACTTTGGCCAACAATATCCCCATTCCTGGAATGCCGTGCCAAGCTGAGTAAAAACTCCATGTGAGTATTCGAATGTTGCAAAATTTTCTCCCGGAAAAAAATTATTTCTGACGTAAGTTATGAATATTTTTCCTTGAAATTTTCAGACAGTTCAGATGAAATTCCGAACAAAACTATTTGGGCAATCGGAGGAAAAATATTGACAAATATTTCCGAAAATTCGTGATTTGTCAAAGAAAATTTGGCAACGTCTGAAGGCTCATACGGCGTTTTTCCTTAGCATGAGAGTATTCTGCCACACTTTTGCTTTAGAAGGAACCTTTTGCAGTTAGGACTCAGTTTTTCAACGTAATTTATACTTCAGAATTGAGAAAATTACAGCCATTCTTTTCTAGATATTTTTTTATGCGACGTAACTGCACCCCTCTTGCTCTCATCCCTTCAATATCATATGGATTGCATTTTGCAAAAAGGAACCACTAGCATTGCAATGATGCTAAGATTATGCAACTTCATCCTTTGCAATGAAATTGCGGAAATTGTGAAAAACTATGAAATTTAGATGGTAATAATTTTTGTCTTAAATTTACGGTTTATAGCGAGTAAAATAGAAACTATTAAGGGATAATCGGGTTTTTCCTCCAAGACAAAAGAAGTTGCACAATCTTAGCAACATTGGAATGCTAGTGGTTCCTTTCTGCAAAATGCAATCCATATTTGAATTCTTTTTCCAAAATTGATAGACTTCCAGTAAATTTAAAGGAATTTGGGGTTTGAATCGAAACTTTCAAGCCCTGATATCTTCTGCTGATTTCAGAAGACAGAACAGTGCTGATTTTAAACATAAAAAGGGGAAGGAGATATAAGTAGCATGACTGACATGATTTTTTTTGGATGGGGGAGAGGGGGGATTGCAGACCTGTGAGATGAGACTGCAAATAGGTCTAAAATTCCAAGAAAGGCAAGTTACGATTGATGATATGTAATTCAAATCAATTACAGGATTTTCAAAAGCATGCAACTTTACCTCCTACTGAAAAATTGCCCCAAACTTAGAACATATTTTATTTTTCCACCAGATATTGTCGGTTAGAAATAAAACAAATCCTTTAAGTTTCATTATCGTAGGTACATGCATTCAGTTTCTTTTACTGTAAAGAAGAAGTTACTTGATATTAACAACACCACAATGGAATTGGTTCTTTTCTCCTGAGTGCTGAAGAAATACGAGTCAATTGGTCACAATTCACCCTTTTATTTAAATTCATTCGCAAGAAAAAATACAGGGTAGTCCAAACATCCCACACCACCCCTCATAGGCCTCAAGAGTGCTTGCTACTTTTTTGGGAGATTCTTCAGAAATTGAGGAGGGTCCCAGAAGTAGTTTATTTGGGTCTGGGAGCAGTCACAAAATGTTAAGCTTCTACCTCAATTTATTCAAAATTTATAAGAAAAAGGAGGACCGAGTTTTGTGGCGGTTAGGCGTCGCAGAGCGCCAGAGAACGCTATGAAAGCGACTCTTATGTATGTATAAGAGAAATATCTGGTGCTAGTGGAGCAGGATTTTTGGATCACTCTGTGGGAACTTTTCAGTGATAAATGGTTGGCAAAACTAGAGTGGTTTTTGATTTTCCGCAGGAAAAAATCTAGGGAAACATGAATGATAAGGAAGCTTCCATGGATAGAGTGTGGATTTGTCGAATCAATAACAAAAATGTATTGGTTATTACAACATTTTATAACAAAGTCTGAGATATTACAAAAATAAAATAAATTTTAATATGAAAAAATTTAAAATGTGTGTGATAACACAATTAAAGCTCTAACACTGAGCTCATAATGTTTAGTATTTCAACTGAACAATTTTCTCTACAGAATGACAGCTGCATCTTTGATTAAATAAGTAAATCATACAACTCTTACAACTTAAGAATATAAAAAAATACTACTCAGGTACAAAATAACATGGTATTCTACTACTGCCCTAGCTTGATCTATACTGAATTAATCAGAGAGGAACCAAGTCACATTTTGCAATAAAATTAGCACCGAGTATTTTTGAGCTTAACCAACCACACATTTCCTCCTGTTGAAAATTCAAAGTTGAAAGAAATTATTCAAATTTAAAAGTAAGCATTGAATTTTATCTCTAACATTGAGCCTTATAAAAGAATTAACCTTTAAACCTTTTTTTCTCCGTTTGATCTTGATCAGAGTTGATTCCTTCCTGTTCACATCGGTCCATCTGAGGTTCTTGGTACCAAATTTTTTTGTAACATGGAAACTCGTGAAAAGAAACTCGTACTGCATAGGGAACTTCCACATCAATTCCAGAAGACATTTCTTTCAATACTTCCAAAAAATGCACTTTTAAAAGAAAATGCTGCATGGAACAATTTCAAGTGATAGAGAATTTGCAGGTGTCTGAAATTTGATGAATTTTGTGTTTAAGTGGAAACTACTAAGTGGACTGAACACGAGGACACCCTTGGTTCAAGAATTGAACAATTATTGGAGAAGATATGACAAAATGATCTAATCTGCTAAAACACATATGTTTAAATGGGAAATGCCGTCAGATGACATCACTAGGCGGTGCATTTTATCAAATTTAAATCTATTTTTATACTATTTCCCATATCAGCAAAAAAATACTGGGAAATCAGCTCTTTGAGCACTTTCAAATGAAGCAATAAAATATTTGCGTGCAAATTCTCCATTGGGCTGACAAAATGAGTGGTTAACGACAACAATTGTCAGCTTTATAAAGTTTTCAATGACCAGAGGATTTTAAAATCTCTAGCACGTAGCTCTTGGATAACCTGAAAATTTGCTATATAAGGCTTTTTCAAAAGAGTTACAAGATCGAGAAACTCTTGTTTGGGCTGAAAAAATCCGAGCAAATCATTGAGCGCTATGAAAATGACAAAACTCAAGCAGAGCATATAATTAGCATTTACTTAACGACATACTGCTTTAATCTAAGGACCCAGTCTCTTTGTTGCTCTGGACAGTCAAGATTTGAAATAAATTCAACTAGAGGACTCACAGAGTCCAAACTTTTGTCTCTTAAGAATAATGCTGCCAGAGTCAGAATCCACCCTGAGGCTGATGTGGGATAGCGTAGAACGATCTTTTGAGCTGTGAAGAGAGCTTTTTCGAAATCCTTCATGGCCAGGAATGAAAGACTTGTGAACGTCAGACTCTGAAAAAAGGGGGCAAAAACAACCTTGATTTTAGAATATAATTATTTCCTGATAAGGAATGAAAGGGTGGTGGGTGCCACGTTTTGACATAATAAACTATGGCGAGACTTTCTAGATGGAGGATGTGCATTTGATTCACCTTTCAAGGTTAGTGTTGATTTTAATTTTATAAATTTAGTTTGCGATTCAAAGGAGATAGCAACCCTAAAATCGAAAATGAGATGGTATTAAAAATTGAGGCGGGAAGGTATAAGAAGCAAAATGGCTCTGTCCCGAATGAAAAATTCGCACAATCGGCAGAGATGCGAGAGATTGTAAGTCTGACTGGTGACGGCGCGTTCGCTGTCTGGCGCCGCGAAGTCGCCTTAATAGTCACACCTGAGCAAAGAAAAAAGAGTCAGCCAGGAACGAGCGAGATCGGGGCGAATTGATAACTTGTCGCGAAAACGCGTCGGCCACTTGACGCAGGAGACAGAATGCAGAGTGCAGACTGCAAAATGCAAGACAGAGCTCATGACGTCACGCGCTCAGCTGTTTTTTCACGATAGCGGCACAACGAATGCAGATATTCGCAAACAGATTTCGGCATCGTTCATTGCACACTTTTCTTCGTCGATTTAGCCACACTTGTTTCTTAGGTTGCCGTTCCCTGAATAAGATACATGAGTAAAAATAGCTATGATTTTTAACGAGCAAAACATTAAAGAATGTGTATCTATGGATGTATCTCTAAGTGGATATATATATGATAGATAGATTTAAACCACTTTCTCATCCCAGTGGAAATGTGTTATAATTTATAACATCTGTTATAACTTGTAAAAGATGTTGGGCCTTTCCTTTCCTATCTCCTATCCTGTTTTGGTTTCCTAAGCTTTTCAGCAAAATCAACCATTTGCCTTGAAAAATAAGCACAGCGACCTATTGCCGACAAATAAGACAACTGGTGTTTATATTTCAAGTACTTTCTCTAGCAGGGTGGAAAATGATCCAAAATATTAGAATTCCCTGACTTTCCTTGACTTTTTTGACGAACTCCCTGAACACTACTGGCAAAATTCTCTGACTGAGAAAAAAATTGCTTAGCTACTCTTGGAAAAGTAAACTTTGCGCTGCTGAATTCATGAAAGACTGGAAACGTATATTTTTCGTGAATCTTGGAAATTTTAATAATAAAGCGCAGTCTCCTTTCCGAATTGAAAAATTCCCTGACCTCCAGCAAAATTATATGACTTCCCAGGTTTCTAGAAATTCCCTTACTTTTCCAGGTTTTGCAAAAGTTACTGATTTTTCCAGGTTTTCTCTTACGTTTGCCAACCTCTTGCATTACTCCCCGATTTTTGATGGGTGGCCCTAAACGTAGCAATGGTTTGAAAAAAAAAAAACTTACTTCTTGCATGTCTGCAGGCACTTTCCTGTTGTACATGGCTATGCATGCATTCAAAGCAGATCCTGAAACCTGGTGAACTGGCGGGAAGTTGCAATACAGTAAAATTCCCGTCAAATCCAACCAGAACTTTATGTGATTTGGCCACCGTATTATCAGACTGCTAATTTTACTCTTGGCTAGGTGTACATTTCCCTGTGAAGAAAAAAACGACTACTGTAAATAAAGATACGTAACAAAATAGACATTGGGGGAAAAAACTTAAAGATGGCATTGCAATGTCGCAGATTTTGGTTTTATATTTTACTCGTTTTCTTTAGCATTAAAACTGACAGGCACAGTATCTTGAGATATTTTGGAAATTTCGGTCATTCATCATTACTTCAAAATTTCAAGAAATAGTGTTTAGAAGTTTTCTGATACAACATTGAGGTAAGATAAGACTGGATATTTAGAAGGATAACAAAACAATTGGTTTTATTTTTCTAGAAACTCCTCTCAAACTGCGATCGAGGGTGCAGAGCTGTCGATTAAATTATTGACTACAAGCTAAATACATCCGTCAAACGTTGTTACCTGAATAACTTTCGAAACTGCATTTAAAAACGCTATCTGAGAGCAATGTTCGGGATAGAACTTGAAAGGCTCCAGATCCCGTAAGACTAGATATACTGCGTTGAGATTTTCGTCCTCCAATAAAAAGAGCGCTCCTAACGCAATCAAAGCCTTGGCAGAAAAGCTCGGATGATTCAGGCTGAAAAAGAGAAAGTCCTTGAGACTCATGGGGAATAAGCCAAATTGGTCGATGGTTTGAAAAGAAACTATCTCACCCGCATGATGATGTTCAAGTAGGATTGTGTTTCTTTATAAGGAACCAGTATTTCTGACTCATCCATGGAAGCACCTAAATGCACAGGGAAACTAAAAGCGCATACTTTGCTTCTAAGCTAAGCCAGAAATAGTGGCTCCTCATTACAAAATCGGTGCATTTGTGATAGAAAACAGCGATTTATCGCTGAAATTATCGTAAGCGAGAGATTGACATTCAAACTCAACCACAACTCAACTCTTTTTTCTTTTTTTTTCGATTTGACTTTTCGAATAGTACTTATTTCTGATTCTGTCATAGGCTTCAGGCTATTAAGAATCATTCTTCATAAACACGTTTCCAGCTAAAATTTACAGCAGAAACATTCACTATCAAGGCTATTTTTGGATCTTGTATCAGCTCTGTTGTAATAAATATTATTTTTTTGTTTCTGTAGACAATAGAAGGCAAAAAAGCACTTCATAAAAGTACTTCATTAGGAATACATACCATTCATATAAAATAGCCTCAGCATCTTCTACGTTTTCACTTTGGTAAGCTGCACTTGCCATTGCTAGAAGAAGATGCCCCCGCAAATTGTCTTCTTTCTTCAAAACGCCATAAACTGAGCGATACAAACTGTATGCTTTGTCAAACTGTTTATCTAAAAAAAACATAACAGATGCATCAGTGTAAGAAAGTAACATATTACACGAAAGAGAATTCTATCTCAATGATTTTTACCATCATATGTTATGTCAAACAGTGAATCTAAAAATAAAAAATCGGTACATCATTTTTGAGAAGTGGCATGTTATGCACAAAAAAAAAAAAAAAAGGACTAAATAATTTTTACTGTCAACCTGATACAAATTCAGAATATTTAGGTACATCATTACATATTTCTTTATTTTTCTTGAAGGGACTTGAAATCCAAATAACTTAACATTGAATCATTCATACCACTGCTATGAGAAAATTCTCAGAACATTTTAAATGCAAAAATACCCCAAAACTTCGAACAAAATCAACGTTAAGCGACTACCAATAAAAAATTAATTTTTGAGAAAAAGCTGTTTAAAGTTTGTACGATCTTGTTCGGTACTCAAAACTGTTAAGATAAAATGTATTTGTATTTCTTCTTATAGAACAGAAATGACTGAATCTCTTACAACTTATCCTAAAGTACAACAAAGAGTATTTTTCTTCAAAAATTCATTCCAATTTTTTTACTCAGCTGGCCCTTAATAGCTCCACTGCAAAATTTTTCTCAGATTGCTTGAGTTCCTCTTCCTACGAATGGTTACACACCATTCATGGTTCAGTTGTGATAGTTAAAGAATTGTGATTTGACGCTTTTAGACATTAATTCAGAAAAAATTAGCAAGATCTGTCCAAAAACTGAGTTTTTATGTCCAATATTAATGAAGGAATCTCTCCTCAAAAACATGGCCATACTATGGTTTCTTTCACCTTGCTATTATTCATGTTTTAAGTCGAGCAACCAGTGCAAATGTGTGTATTACCAACTGGACTACACTGTGCAATTCTGAACTACAATTTTTGGCTCAGTTTGAAAATAACGTACATGCCACTAGTTTTGCTATGCACATAAGTGTTTTTGCAAATGAGCCAGAAGCTATAGCTCTTAATTTCAAAATAAAGTCCAACTGTTGAATCAAAGGAGGAAGAAATGAGGGTATGTACTACTGCAGTGGAAGACGTTGGGCATCATGTTCTTCAGAGGGCTGTACCTCCATTAATATTGGACAAATGAACTGCATTTTGCAAAACGGAAATACAATTTCTAGCTCTTATTAGAGACATTATATGTGCCATAAGTTTCCCTGAGTAGGTAGGTGCTTTTATTAGGGCCTGAAATTGTAGTACACAAAGACTAGGTGTTCGGACAGATCTCATTATTTTTTGCTAATCTATGAGCAAACGAAACAACATTCTGTGAATAGTGCTAATAATCAATTGAAAAACAGAGTGCACTATACAGGGAGTTGAAAAACTACTGTCATATAGGGACATACCTTTGGCATACGCATGAGCAAACCCCAACTTAACGTTGGGATCTTTATCAGATATCGATGAAAACACAGCAATGGCCTCTGAAAACGATCCTGCTTCCATTAGAGTGTGACAAAGATTCCTTTTGACAGTGTTAGACGCATCTTTAGTGTCTCGACACAGATACAGAGCTTTTTTCAAAACTTGCAGACTACTTTTGATCAGGTTAGATTTTCCGAGTAAAATTCCAAGAAGATTTAGAGCCTTGAAATCTGACTCATTATGCACTGCAAAAGACAAAGATAGAATTGAAAGTGACAGGTTTGACTATGCTAGCCCAACTGCATTTTATGTTGCCCGATTTCTTCCCATATTTTATATTTTTTACAATCTTGGCCAATGGCTTATTTTTTTGGTCTGTTGCACGCAAGAGATACAGCCAAATAAATGTACTAGTCATGGGTAAAATCACACGAAAAGCATATTGGGCACGTTAAACAAGTCTGAAATCCATTTCTTAGCTCGTAATTTGCGTAGTTTGTGACATGCTTTTTCAAGTTTCCCCCGTCTGCGGGCAATTTTTTTCATTCAACGCCAACCAGGTTTGCACAGGCAGAGGAGTAAGAAAAATTAACCTGAGTAAACAAACGATTTCAGTAACTTTATCTATTGTATTGATTTCAATCGTTTTTAAGCGTTTGTTTCCTTTTTTTTCTTTACTATGCGAAAACAAAAGCTTTGAATCAATTGAAATCTTACGCAAGGAGAGTTTATAACACTTTGCAAGATTGTTTGCTTATTCAAGGTTAGGTCTCTCTCTGGGCAAACCTGACTGCCGACCACCGAGAAAAACTGCCCACATACGTGGTAAATTTGAAAGTGTGTTATAAACTACGCAGATTGCTTTCTAAGGAACGTTCCAGACTTTTTTTGTGTCCTACGTAATTATGGAGCGAATTTACTCTTTAATAGCGTATTCAGTTGTCTTTCGTGCAACAGACCCATTTCCTATCATATTTATAAAACATAATTATTTAATTGGAAAAAAAAGAGCCATTTACATTCAATTTCTGCCCAAAAACCAGTTTTGGTCTCGTTGGCTAAATTGTTTTTGACCAAAAATTCAATTCTGACTACATCGGATAATTAATGGTCATATAATCAGGATATTACTGTAATATTTTATCATTTATGGCACAATAAAAATTCATCAAAATGAGATCTACTTTTCAATTAGTTTGAACGATATTGTCAGCCATTTTACTTTTGGAAATTCAAAAAGTGAGATAAATGGTTTCGGTACTTACTTATGTAATGAGAAAGGCAATCTATTGCTACAGGAACTGAGTTCATTAGGTCAACATTTGACTTAGAATTGGAAGGCGCTATATACTGACATACAAAGTCAGCAAAACCGAGGCTACTCTCTGGGTGGTATTCCATGGCCGCAGCATGCCGAAACAAGTCCATCGCATCGTATACCTGTACATTCTCCGCAATCATTGACTGAAAATGGAAATTTATCATTTATAATCACAAAAATTAGAATTTTACTAGTAAGTCTGTCTACAAAGACCAAGATAAAAAATTCCTTTGTGCCTATCTCCTTTAAAAATTTTTGGACTATACTTTGCATGCAGTTAGAACTTTGTGTATCGACTCAACAACAAATACTCAGAACTAATGAGTGTTGAACGGAAGAAATAGATGGTGGCTTATTATTTTTGAGGTTTTGAATGTGATCTATATCAACTATTACACATCTCATGAGGTAAAAATACGATAGAAGACTACGCACAAAATACCAAAAAATCTTTGGTACCAATCAAATTTAGATAATATTCGATCAATGTTCCTCACAACCTCTTAGGCCTAAATGAGCTTTTAAAATCGAACTCTCTGAGTGCCAATTAAGTACAAAGAAAGTCAGGGTAGGACTGTTCTATCGGTCGTCGGTAAGCTACCGAAACAGGTCCGTCAAGAAAAAAAGTTACAATAAGAGCGTTCTTGCTGATAGCGATCAGAGTTTTCGGAGCTGACGAAAATAAGCTGTTGCCATTTGTCATCTATTTTACGCGCTGCCGCGCCAGGCAATCTGATAAATTGACACTTGGGGCAACAATGCATTGGGTGTGAGCTCTCAAAAATCCGATAAGGCCGGCTGTTAACGATATCATCGCCACTGTCGGTACTGCCGCCAGTTTCGGTAAGAGACGATATCGATAGTGTTCCGGCAAGAATTCGTTTGAACACCCCTAAGTCAGGGCTGAAAAAAGAAATTTTCGGTCTTCTTACACGCATTCTCTGATGGAGATATGGGATTGTTGATACTAATGTGTTGCCGCTGCACTGCACGCTGTCATTATTTAAAGGAATTTAATTACTTTCGTCATTTCATCTTTCCAGCCTACGAGGAAATAAAAGCTCTCCTTGATAAGCGTTAAGATTTTGCAACAGTTCTATGGAATATAGCAGGAAAAAATACCCAAAAATTCAATTTTTACCCCTGCTTTCCTCTACATCAGCAAATAAAACGTTCGGTTTGAAAAAGTTACTATGCCTTAGAGTCCCTTTATACCCAGAGTTAAGACAACTCGATTATCAGCTGACTGGCAGCCGGCCTTGGCTGGCCATGGAGGCACAAACGAGTGCACCCAAACGAACGATATTGAGGGATAAAGATCAGGAATCCTGCGATGTCTGTCACACAAAAACAACAACATGAACAAATTGATCAATTAAAAAGAAAATGAGATTGGTTTGTGAATAATTTCTTAATCTATTTTCATTTTAGACCGATGGAAATAACAATTTACTCTTGATAAACCACAATTAGGTAATATTTTCATTATTTTTGTTCACATTCGAGTCACCGCCATCTTGGCACACTCGTTTGTGAATCCATGAGCGAGAGCCAATCAGAATTGGATTTTTTTTTTAGGCCACTTTCAGCCCAACCAAAAGTGAGTAGTCTTAACTCTGGGTATAAAGGGACTCTACTATGCCTGACAGAAAGTATTCATTAGCCAAAATTTTGCATCTAATATTGACAGAGATAGCTGTCTGAACCTTACCATACCAATCCAGCTGCTGACATGATTTGGATCTGAGTCCTGAGCTGATTGGAACATTTTGTGCGCCAGCGCATAGTTCCCATGCATCAAGTACAGGACACCCAAATTACTCCATCCAACAGCGCTACTTCCATTAATTTCGGTGATTGTAATGAATGCATGCTGAGCGAGATCATACAATTTTAATTCTGGGAAAGTGAAAATTGACAGGGTGAATTTTTTTCAGAGAGTTTAAAAATGACTTGCCCAAAAGTTATCCTACAGATAGAGTAAAGTATTCGCAGGTCAAATCAAAATTTTACGCAAAAAATGCATACTTTACAAAATGCGAAAAAAATTAAGGGCTAAAGAACAATACCTAACCTAACCGACAATTTTGACGAAAATAAGTTGCCAACTTTGCTACATTCTACAGTATACGATACACAAGTTGGTTTTTTCCGATTCCGCACGGAAGCGCTGTGATGAGGGTGTGAAAAAAATTGACACAAGTTGGTCGATTGTATGATCAGCCCAAGGTGACGTTATGAAAAAATTGCAAATCTAACTTCAAAATTACAAAAATGGCGAAATTTTTCTTCATCTTGCAAAATCGTCAGTTTCCAAATAAGCAGTGTTGTTCCTTATCCATCAAAATGTATGTTTGGACGAACAACTCTCAAACTCACACAAAACATAAAAGAAAAATTCACGTTTCGAGGACACTTATTAGCTTCTTCAAAACAGACGCCAAAAGAAGAAGACAAGTGCCCTCAATATGCTTTAGTTTTCTCTCAATTTATCAGTTGAGTAAGAATTTTTTATTCAAAATTGTATACCTTCACACTGTATTTTCCAAGCTTCCCATTCATAGTTTGAACACCTTGGTTGTTTCACAGTTTTCCAGTTTCATTATAACAGCAAACTTTTCATGCCCTGTTTGATTTTTTTTTTTTAAATTTCTCTAGAGACTTTAAAATTGTCATTTTTAATTTATTACTTTGCAGTACTGCATGATGTCATTTCAAATAAACAAATTGCGAAGAAAGCACATGACACATAACTATATACCAAAGAACAGTAGCATAGCTGACCAAGTTGAAACTATTGATAAGTTGAATTAGAAATACTGCAGCCTGATTATTGAAAATCTTAGTCTACCGAACAAGCCAAGAATTAGGAGAAATGAAGTCACGTGAATCACCACCTCTGTCTATAGATGGCTGTAGATTCCTATCTAAACAATACAAAGGAATAGAAGCCACAAAACTCAAAAAAAAAAAAAAAAAAAAATCCTCTTTATCAAGTTTGTATTGAACAGAGTGGAAGAAAAGCTAGTCACCCACCAGGGTGTCTACTAAAATTTCTCTTTGGATTTTCCCGATTTTTCCTAATATTTTAAAAGAAATATCCTGATTTTTGTTGCGAATAAATTGACACTCGTTTCTTTACACGAACTAGCATATTTGATAAATTGAATAAAATCACTTTTGTACTTGCTATAAACCACATGTAATGGGTCTGTTGCAAACTTTTGCTAGAGCAAAAATAAGAGTTGTTACCTATAGATAATGCCTAAAAAATCACGATGAGCGCATCGGCAAACTCTGAAATGCACTCATAACTTCACAATCTGCGTAAGAAATTAGCGGTTTTTTGAGCTTCCCGCTTCAAAAACGATACTACGGCACAGGTGAACTAAAAGCAAAAGTTTGCAACAGGCCCATTGAAAAATGCTTGACACACACTGAATTTCCTGATATTTTCCTGATTTTCCCTGCTGACAATGTTTAATTTCCTGATATTTACCATTTTTTCTGGTTTTAACTGACGGTGGACACTCTGCCCACACAGTAAGTAACGAAAAATCACACACCTTCTGACATTGCTATGGCACCAAGAATATTCCAGTAATCTATGTTCTGGTCGTCTAAAGAAATGCACTTAACGGCAACTTCAAACGCCTGTTCTCTTAACTGCAATTTTCGAGTGGGGTCCGTCGTGAGAGTGGCACTTAAATTATATGAATAAGTTAGATCGTACAGTAAAGGACTAGCAGCAGCATTTAATGACGGTTCATTTTCACAGATACGAAGAGCTTCCCAGTAACACCTGGAAAAATGAGCAAACAAGAATGTGTCAATTTCTTTCCACAATTTTGAATATGTGAAGTGTTTCAATGATTAATATTTATTAATTAAAATATTTTTGAAAAAAAAAAATAAGGTTTCATCTTCCGAGTTAAAAATTTTGATTCTGTAAGTTTACACAACCTGAATAGAGGGTTTTAAAGTTATTCTGGTCAGATAAATTGAAAAAAATGACCGATAGTTGAACAAAAAACTAACTGCTCGCCGATGAGTTGATGATCGAAATTTTTGATATCTGTCCCATGTTTTGTACTTTCAGAAAAAAATTAGGGAAAATATTTTAGGATTTTTAAAAATACTGTTTGAATCACACTAAGATATCTACATTTAATTTTGCATCTCTTGGAAAGCATCGAAATTGAATTTCAAAAATTGAAAAAATTAAAACAGGCCATTGGTTTAGGGTAACAATATTGATGTATCAAATTTTGAATAAAACTACGATATCGGTTTGTTCTTACCCAACACCACACACAGAACTTTAACAGATCGGATTCCGCTCTTCTAAACCTTATCTTCTAAACATATTACATACTTGAATATGTTATTGAATGATAAAATATCTGTCTGTTAGTAAGAATAGACAAGTCGTCCATTAGGTCCTTTATAACTTAAAGTCTGCGTAAACTGTGTTACCTGGAAGCTAAGTCTAGAACTTCACTCCTATTTATTCGGACAGGTTTGCAATCCAAAGACTCAGTTATTTCAGACTTAGAGAGGTAGGTGGGTACGATGATTTCATTCAGCGAAGATGGTAACTTGGCAACAAGACAACTAACATCTCCTAAAAGTTTCCATAAACAGCATAGCTTCTTCCCGGCAGCTTCATGTGCTCTGGAATGAAAAAAAAACCGAAGAGTAAAAGTAAGGTATAGAAAGCTGATTAGTGTTAGAAAATGTTTTCCCTCATGGATTATCAAACATTTTGCTAAAACCAGTAGCAATGTACAGGGGAAATAAAATAGAATATCAAATGTTTGTGATACGTAGTGGACGGAGGTTCGATATTGTATTTTTCTCCCATGGACGTTGATAAAATTCCTTGAACTTGATCCAACAGGGTATACATTTTTGAAATGTTGAAATGTGTCGTAAACAGATTTTTCAAAGGCTGTTCACACTTCATTGGGGCGCGTACTTTTATGCAAAGCTTGAAAAGTTTGTCAAATTGATCTTCAACTTTTAAGGGTATCATCTTCTCTTCACTCAACCTTCAGCAATAAGAAATTTGAATAGAAAACTAGACAAGGGAAAAATTTAAGCATTCTGATATATGCTTCCTCTTTGAAATTTTACGTAGAGTAAAATTCACGATGAACATTACTAAAATGCACTCCTGACCAAGATATTAACGTTTTCACTGAGTAATGGTGGCAAAAAATTTGAATTTCTTGCTCACAAGAAAAGTCAGAGCCTAATTGAATTAAAGCTTGCACTATAAGGGCACTATAGCAGGCTTGATGATCAAGCAGTGATTCTCCTCCGTCCTAGATTGTTTTAAGTTCAAACAACTCGCAACGGCTAAGATTAAGCGTTGAGATTGAGGTTGCCATAATTTCAAACTGCAGAGACTATTTGTTCAACTCAAATTGATTCAATTAAATTATGGTTGGATTTTTTTTTTCATGAAGTTTTTCTTGCGGAAGAACTTGAGGGTTCGGTTCTACATGAAATTTTGATGAGAACACATGCATCATAATGCTAAAATATGAATCTTGTCTACTGATCATGATTGGACAGGATTTTTTTTTCCATCGTATAATTTTTCTTTTTTAAAACTAAATAATGATAGCACACCTAATGAAATTAATTTTTTGAGCTACCTTAACAAAGACATAAACCTAATTCTCAGTAAAGACTCAAACGAGCAACAGCTTACAGATATTTATAATTATTTTGCGACAATTCTGAGTATAAGATCGTTCATAATAAATGAATAATTGAACCAAGAAACAAAGTTTGCCTATCATGAACGCTGCTATTTCATGTACATAACTGTAAACCCGGCAAATCTTAGAGATAGGTGTAGCATAATGAAGCAATCTTATGCTTGTAAATGATCTCCCGACCTAACCCCCTTTGTTAAAGCCTCCCCAGGATAAAAAAAATAAAGTATTCTATCTATCTATCTATCTAAATTAATTTCTTGTTTTTTAATGCCATCTCAGCCTTTTTCAAGCTTCCTTTACCAAGGAGATATCTTACCTGCAGAGATTATCAATTGCCTCCTGACACCTGTCCTTACACGTTATTAGGATGTGTTTTTTGAACAGCACTTGGGCAAGCTTAACGCAAGTCTCCGCCAGCCCCTTCAAGTACGGAACAGAAGAAGGATCTTCATGGACTAAAACACGGAACTCCTCCAGCGCTTCATCGAATCGTCCGATCAAGAGCTTGATGGTTGCTGCACGATACTTTGAGTACAGCAAGTTAGGGTTGATTTCAGATGCGCGTTCAAATGATTTGATTGCAGCGTGGAACATTCCACGGGCTGAATACGACACTGCGAGTAACTCCCAGCACTGGCTAAAGGGATAAAAACAAGAGGTATTAGTAATACTGTTAGCTCATGATTCATACCAAAATTACAAGTAAAAAACCGCAAGATAGTAAAATACTGCCGTGCTGAGGAAAAACGCCGTATGAACCTTCGGCCACCTGACAAATTTTCATTTATAAAACACACATTTCCTGGTAAATTTATGAATATTTTTCTTCCAAATTTTCAGATAATGTTGCTTGCAATTTAAAGCTCCTGAAAATTTCAAGGGGAAATATTCATAACTTTCCTCAAAATAAACATTTTATTGAAAGAAATTTAGGAACTCTCAAATGTTCATACGGCGTTCTTCCTTAGCATGGCAGAATAGTGCTATGTATGTTGCGGGGAAAGCAAGGCCAAAAAGTTTAGAAATTTCGATTAGAGTCAAACATTTTTGAGCTCTAATGGGTATCTGCAGGCTGATTGTTGAAATTGATAGACAAAGAAGACATAAGAAGTATGATGCGGTCCTATTGGTTGAAATATGTGGTTCTTACAGACTAAAGGAGAAAATGATGGACTAACTGATGGGTCTGATGAGTTGCCTTTAGTTAGTTTATTACCTACTTCTTTCGTCCATTTCAACTACCTGCTTCTACCAATAGGATGCCTTCATGTCCCTTTTGTCTTCTTTGTCTAAAGCTTTGTCTATAAATTTCAACAATCAGCCCGCCAGGGTGTCTAATAAGACAGGCTGGCCAAGAATAAGCACTTTTGCAGTACTTTTTCAGTACATTCCAAAGAAATTCAGTACCCCCTTAACAGAAAAATTCAGTACTTTTTCAGTACCTCCATTCGACAAAAATCAAAAGATTCCGAAAATTTGAAATTCTCACTCGAACCAAGACAAAATGACGTAGGCACACAATTTTAGTAGCGGCTTGAAGATTTACTGACTGCACAATCAAGATATTGTAGGCAAATACTAGTCTGAGAATTAACGCGCAAGGGATTCCATACTTTTCAGGCTTTATTAAAAAAACACGCGTGGTATGAAGGCAGGCATTCCTGACCTTGCGGAATGGCCGCGTTTTTTTCGGTACTTCCGGAACGCCATTCAAAAATCCGGACTGGTAGACACCCTGTTCAAAGAACGAGAGCCCTGAAATGGTGCTATCCTTCCTCTGGCCGAATTTACAGCAGTGGCTTTGCGATCTATCGATATTTCCCCATTTGAAGCTGTGGTAAATAATCGATTATTAAGATGTTTGCCGCGAACACCCCGTTTATCGATACTTTTCCATAGGTTTAAATGGCCGATCAATCGATACATCGCAAAGCACGCCACGGCACTGAGACGGGAATCGAATGACCACCGCGATGAGATTGAAGCTCGTCGCTTGGTTGAGAGAGCCATTAGAAGAAGTGAAACATGAAATTTACGACTGATATTGCGAATTTTGATGTTAATTCCATCCATTTTAAGATGGTACTCTCTTATGAGATTTGGTACTAAATCAGATTGATCCTCTTTTTTTTTGGTGATACAGTAGCATTTTAGTCTTTCAAAAATTGAGAATTTTTGGTTCAGGTCTCCACTCCCACAGAGGAGAGTGAGGGGTGGATGGAAAAACTATAGTCTCTGTTCAGCTGGTATCATTGCGCAGTGCCATAACATTACAGTATTTACATTTTTGCACTCTATAAAATCAAAAATTGATATCAATTCGGACTGAGGGGAATTTCAATAAACTTTCAATAGCATGTGCAGATAGGTATTTTTAAAATCTTTCATTTAAAAAAACAAATTCAACTCAATTTGATGATCCCTTCAAAAATGGTAGTTAAAGGTTTTCCCTACGACCCCCTGTTCCTCTTCTGTGAGCGGTTCTGTGAGCGGGCCCAACCCAAAAAGTTCGCCAAATTTAAAAACCTCTCGTGCTACTGTGTCACCTCTAAAAAGATATATTCGGAGGCAAAATGAATTGCATTTTGCAAAAAGGAACCACTAGCATTGCAATGATGCTAAGATTGTGCAACTTCATCCTTTGCAATAAAATTGCGGAAATTGTGAAAAACTATGAAATTTAGATGGTGATTTTTGTCTTAAATTTACAGTTTTCAGCGAGTAAAATAGAAACTATTAAGGGATAATCGGGTTTTTCCTCCAAGACATAAAAGAAGTTGCACAATCGTAGCAACATTGCAATGCTAGTGGTTCCTTTTTGCAAAATGCAATCCAAATCTAGCAGGGGCTAACAAAAATATTTAATTAAAGGGGGGGGGGGGTTAAAAACTCGGAAAACATCACATATAAACTCTGATGTTTTGGGAGCAAAAGCTGCTATCCGTTGTTTTAATTTTATGCTCTTCTCATCACATTATTAGCCCATCTTGTTTCCGGAACACCACAGTTCATTTGGACTGCATTTTGCAATTTGGACCTATAAATTCCGGCCCGGTTTAAAAACAACGTGTGTGCCATTAGTTTCCCTATGCACATAAGTGTTTTTTCAGATGGGAAGTGTTTCAGAATTTATAGGTCCAAATTGAAAAATGCAGTTCATTTAGAAATTGTCTTTATTTTTTGCTCTCCCCTTTTCCAGCTCAGTATTTTTCTCTTTGTTTAAACTTGTTTGTTTTGTTTGTTCTTTTTTCTGTTTACATAAGTTTACCCTTTTTCCTTGTTTTGCAGCCTCGAGGTTTCATGACCGCCAAAGAAACAGACCGGGGATTTCCAAATTCTGTTAACAATAGCCAAAGAAAAGGACCGGGGATTTCCAAATTCTGTTAACAATACAGAGGTCCCTTTCATTGTTTTCGACACGTAAGCTGCCCCGCTAAGGAAGAACGCCGTATGAGTCATTAGGCGTTGCCAAATTTCTTTTGATAAAACGCGAATTTCCTGGTGAACTTACGAATATTTTAATCCCAATTTTTCGGGTAATTTTGTTCGCAATTTCACCTGAAGATTCTGAAAATTTAAAGGAAAAATATTCATAACTTTCCTCAAAAATAAGCATTTTATTGAAGGAAATTTGGCAACTCTCGATTGTTCATACGGCGTTCTTCTTTAACACAGCAGTGCGGTCCCCAGCTCAATACAGCCGGGCTGAGGAGAAACGTCGAATGAGCATTCGAATGTTGCCAAATCGCCTCTTAAAAAATATTTAATTTTGAGGAATTTTATGAATTTTTTCTTTTGAAATTTTCGGACACTCAGGATCGAACTACAGATAAAATTCTCCGAAAAATCCGACGAAAAATTTTTGCGAATTTTGCCGCAAATTCGTGATTTGACGAAGAAGATTTGGCAACGCTGGAGGGTGCATACGGCGTTCTTCCGTATCACAGCGGAACCCCGTTGTTCCTTGGAACAAAAGACCCTAGTGAACACCTGGCTAATGATGTTCACTTTTCCCTCTTTCGTTCCAGAAAGTTCGGCCTTCCCGCCTTTGAAAAAATAAGGAAAAAGTTTCTAAATTGCATCCCAATTGCAAAAGGGGTTAGCAGAGAGGGGGGGGGTGGTGGCTGCGGACCAACACGTCACAAGCTTATAAAAGGGAAACCCCACCCTTAAAGTTCAGTCAGTTTGGCTTCAGTGAGCGATGTGGTTCAATGGGTGAACGAGTAGGTCAGTGATGAAGTGGGTCAGAGGTTCAGCAGTTCAGCGGTTCAGTGGCTTAGGGGTGCAGTGCGCAGTCAGCAATGGGAATCGCAACAATTGCCAAGGCACAACATGATTTAAGCTTCTACGTGAGTACACCGTACAGCGTTTTCGTACCTCTTATTATTACAGATTTATTTATTTTTTTTTTTTTATCTTAAATTTAAAATTTATGCTTTCAAAATTTTAAAATTTTTAGATCATTAGTTCGTTTAACGTTCTTTTTTACTATTTAAATTTTGGGAATATTAATATTTTAAGTTTTTTAAATTTTAAGTATATTATATTTTACTACATTATTATTACGGTCAAGTCAGGTTCATATGCTCTAATCAGTATAGGTACTTATATCCTTAACAAAAATACATTTAAAATCGTCAATGAAAGTAATATTTCGTAATTTGTTTTTCGTTTTTTTATCTTTCTCTGTAGATCACCAGTACATGGAATGTTTTCTTTCGATTTGCACAGATAAACATCCAAGAAAACGCTAGGATTTTGATGGCTAATTCTTGAGTAATTTTAATCCGGAAAAATTAAACAAGAATTTACCATTAAAATCCCAGCAGTTTTAAAGAAATGTTCTAATTTGGTAGGCTGAAATTAAATAATATTATTTTACAGCATGTATTAATTTCCCATTACTTTCATGTTTTTAGACTTGAATTAATGATTCTTTTCCCTTAGGTTGCATTAAAAATCGTATCAAAACTGGTGAATGAAGACAAATAATGCATAACTTTACCGCAGCATTTGAAAATTTGGAAATGTGCTCTACTTTTTTGAGAGAAAAAAAACCCACGCATCTCCCTCAAATTCTCTGTGAATATTTGAATGAATATTTGGATATTGAGTGAGTGAAAAAATTCCCAGAAATTTTAAGGAAAAGCTGCTGATCAGTTCTGCAAACATGAGCAGCGATTTGCAATGCTACAGTCGGAGGTAAGTAATCTTATCCTTCAGCTATTGATATGCTACTTCTTGTTAAATTTTAAAAATAAAAATTTGCACATAGGCTATACTTTTCCAGCATTCTGCTTGTAAAATGGTTTCGATTCAATTTCTTGGACTGGATATTTTTCCTCTTCTAAAGCTTCATACTGACTTTTCTTTCTCATTTATATACCTTCTCTGAATTGACAAGAGACAAGGTCAGAGTAGAAGTTAATTTTCAGCATACTACTCGTGAGTGAAATTGCTTTCCAACATTTTTATTTTTGTCTCAAATATCAAACTAATTTTTCTCTCTGTGTTGTTTTACAGCTTTATTTATTTTCTTTTCAGATTGGTAAGAAACGAACACAGTGAAAGTAGTTTCATCTTGTTTTATTTTGTTTCTTGTTTTGTGTATGCCTCATCGTAGGTACTTTTTCTGTTATTGCATATTTTCAATAGGTATGAGATAAACAGTGGGTAAACAATTCTACTTCATTTCATTTTGCTTTTTATGTTTTGTATACCTTAAACTAATTTTCTCTTGTTTATTTTTTCAGATCGACAAGGGTCGAGCGCAGTGAAAGCTGTTTTCTTATTTTCATTTTGCTCTTTTTATTTTTATTTCATACACTTTCCTCTTATTAATATTCATTTCTTCACCTATTATTCCTTACGTCTTTGATAAGCGTCCTTTCCCGCACCATTTGCTGTTGAACTACATTTCATAATTGAGATACTGATGCCGACTCTCCCACTAAAGTACCTATCTACATCGGGAAACTTACTGCTATTATTTCTAAAATGAGACGGAATTAGCATGTTTTTTTGCAAAATGTAGTCCATTGCAAGGATCAAAAGTTTCATTTTGATTACATTTATTATTATGTTTAATATTAATAGAGATATTTTCATAATTTACCACAAATTATCTGGACAGTATAACTATTCTGCATTCGGAAAGCACATTAAAGTGACTGATTATTTGGAGATAAAAAAGACAAAAGTAAAAAGCAACAGCATTGAAGATTTCATGAGCAATGGATTTTGCATCAGCAGGACATAGATGACATGGGTTAAGGGGCGGAGCATGATTGGTCGGCTATGTCTTATCGCTTTATTATGCCTTTGTCAGGTAGAATGGACGACATACTGTCGGAAACTTAAGAGGTGCCTTTAGCTTGTTGTGAGTTCCACCCGACATAGGCACAACAAAGCAGCGATAAGACATAGCAAACCAATCACGCTCCGCCTTTTAACCTTTGTCATCAATATCCACCTGACAAACACAGAATTTCAACAATCAGGCTGCAGAGTGGTAGATAGTATCAGTTTCGACTCGTTAATTTAGCATGATCAAAACGTATGTTTCACTAAAATGTGAAGTTTCAAGTTAGGTTAAGGACTAATCATTCCTTTTTTTATATTTAGTTTGTTTCAGGTCGGCAAAAAACGAAAGCTCCAGGCATGATGAGTCATTGGGGACGGAAGTAGTGCCCTCCAAAATGTGTATTTGTTGAATACAATTTAGATAGTAGAAATCATTAGTACTGCAATTTATTTAATCCATTTTTAGTTAAGTTCATTCTTTTAGGTAACTTCATTCATAAATTCTAAAAGAATAAGTTGATTGCATTTTGCAAAAAGGAACCACAAGCATTCCAGTGTCGCTAAGATTGTGCAACTTTTTTTACCTTGCAAATAGAAACTGATCATCTGAAAAAGTTTTATCTTTACTCCCTCTAAATTATGAATTCAAGACAAAAATCGCGTTTGTAAATTTAATTTTTTACAAAGAATTTAAGTCTTTCAATCCTAGCAACATTGGAATGCTCTTGGTTCCTTTTTGCAAAATGCAATCCAATTATACTTTAAAATTATCTCATCCTTAACTTGATTGCCCTCGGTTGTTCGAGAAAACTTGAGAAGTATTTGCAACTCCTCCCAGTTCTGCATATATATGGATCTTGTGTAATAATAACATACGATATTGCATTCAACTGAAGGTCATCTGCATTACGCAAAAAGAAATTATTTTTTTCCATTCAAAGTAGAAAACACATGACTGCCATGAATTTTTCTACATAAATAGGTGATTTTTTAAAGTGCTGGAAAAATTGGTTCTTTTTTGCATTATGCAGTTCAGTTACTTCAACTGAATGCAACATTCTGATCGATGCTGCATTATGTGCTCCAAAGACAGTATCAAACAGCAATTAAAACTAAAATTTGAAGAAACGATAGCTAAATTGGTTTTATTTTGGCGAGGTGCATTGACTAAAATTTTGATGAGAGAACTGGACGAATTTGCACTGATAGGAACTGTGTTGCATGCAAATTCCATGCAGATAGTTAGGAACTGTGTTGCATACAAATTCCATGCAGATAGTTCCTATCAGCGTAACTCCGTGCAAGTAATAAATGGATGAGAACTTATAACTTTATTGAGGGACTAAATAGAATTCAAGAAGCCAGTTTTGTCACCTGATGCAAATCATACTAATAATTCTTGATTTTTCTTGTTTGTTTCAGTGCGGGAACGAAGAAACGGGCTCAGGGGGAGGGCTCGCTAAGGGAGGTGGTTCCCAGGGAAAGGGGGGCTCGTGGGGTTGGGAAGGATCGCGGAGTAAGGTTTTCCAGGGGGAGGTTCCCGGGGAAAAGGGGGCGTTCGTGAGGTTGCACGCGGCATCGCGGAGTAGGGTTTCCTAAGGGGGTTCCCAGGGAGAGGGGGGGATTCGTGGGGATAAGTAGGATCGCGGAATAGGGTTTCCAAGGGGGGTTGGTGCGCGAAGTAGGATCACGGGGGGAGGAGTAGGAATTTTTTTTTTTTTTTTTTTTTTTCCGCGACTGGCTTGCTGAGATCCTCCGGGGCGTTACGTCCCGGGGTCCGCCGTCGCCGGCAGGGGCGCCCGCCGGGACCCCGTGGGTCCGTTGGGCGTCCCNAAAAAAAAAAAAAAAAAAAAAAAAAAAAAAAAAAAAAAAAAAGGGAGGAGGTGGGAAAGCAACCTGGGGGCTGGAAGCCGGAAGCCGGGGTTGGGGGAGGCCACCATCGTACCAGGATCATCGTACCGGGATCACCGTACCAGGATCATCGTACCAGGATCATCGATTTTTTTTTCTCTTTTCTTTTCTTTTTTTTCTTTTTTTTATTCTCTGTTTCAGGTGCTGCTGGTGGATCACCGGACGTTTGTTCCCGCAACCGAGGTAAGATACTGTTTTATTTCTCCTTATCAATCAATTGCGGAGGGCACTACTTTCGTTTTCTCCAGGCAGAGCTGTTTCTCAGGAGTATCAAAAACAGCATGGAGAAGTGATGGGTGCAGGTGCGTCGGCGTTGAGGTGAGTGTTTCATTTAGTTTTCTCTTCCCCTTTCCTCTCCCTTTTTCCTCTTCCCCTTTCCTCGTGGATTAGGGCTCTTGGCGATACCACGTTAAAAAAAACGCGCCGAAAGCTCTACCTCCGGGAGCAGCACCGCATCCTCTGTCTGATCGGGCTCTCCTAAGGTGGTGTGGAAAAGAGCTCAACGTACAGTAATTTTTCAGGAAAAATTAATATACAAAACTTTGCAACACATTCTCCTAGCAAAATTTGGGCATTTTCGTCCATTACTGGCATCAGAGTTTGCGAAGATTCTGTTATACAAAACTCGCAGATAGTTTGCACTGTTGTCAAATAATGTTCACAATTGTGCAATTCAATTTTTGATCAAAACGCCTCGGTACAACTATTTGTTCTCTATGAACACACGTGTTGCATGTGAAAAAATGGAAGGCGCTCCGGTCACTCTTCATGAAGCAGTGCTCGTAGCAACGGAGCAGTGTGTGGCTTGTCATTACGAATATAGGGTGAGATGAAATTCTTCCATAAAAAGTAAGGCAGAAAGAGGTATGATTCTTTCGTACCATTTACACAGATCAGAATATCACATCCCACCACCAAACAATGTCATCACAGCATGTTGCTACGAGCACTTCTCCATGCGCTAGAATGACCAGAGCGCCTTCAATTTTTAGTACGCCACACGGATGTCCATAGAGCACGATTAGTTGCATCAAGGCGTTATTACCGATATCACCATCCTACACTCGGTGATCAATTCTGAAGGGTTAGGAAAAAACGTCGCATGAGCATTCTTGAATTGCCAAATTTCCTCTGATTATATATTCATATCTGAGAAAACTTGTTAGCTCTCAATATTTCAATTTTTTCTTTAAAATTTTCTGCACAACCTGATAATTTCCAGGAAAACGTTCCTCAAAAGTAATTTTGTACTAGAAGAAATTTGGCAACGTCTGAATCTTCGAGCGTCGTTTTTTCGCCACAGCAAACTTGCTACAGCGGCAGCAAAGCTTGACAGGGGTGGTCACCTGTTTCGGACACCTTGTGGAAGGGAAAATTAACAAAAATAGGTGTAAAGATTAACGTTTCTTACTTTAGTTCTGGCTTCGCACGGTGTAGATGAATGAAAGAAAAGTAACTTCCGCCATTTTTCAAGAACTTATTATGACGTCTTTAAACATTTCGGCCGAAAGTTACAAAATTGAATCATACTTTCAATTTTCATGATTGCAAAAACCAAACAAAGAGAACCTGAACTAACCTGTCTTGCTCATTAGCTTTCAACACTTTTAAGTAACAGTCGGAAGCTTGTTGATACTGGTTAGTGATGGAATAGAGGCGGCCTAGACGAACCCATGCCCATTTCTCGCCTGAATTACTTGCGACTTTGAGGAGGACCTCAATGTTTTTTTGCGGCATGTTCAGTTTGTTGTAAGCATCGCTAAGACCTTTGCCTGCTTCTGTGAAGAATGGGTTGAACTCGTACGATTTCTGGAAGCATCGTCTTGCTTTATCATAGTCTTTCAGAACACTCATGTAGTAGCAACCAAGGCTATAGTAGGGTAAGTACCAGTGCGGACAGAGTTTTGCAGCCTGTCGAGAAAAAATACATGGATGAATTATAAAGCACATTCCTTTTTCTTCAGTTTTGAATGCAAAAAAAAAAAAAAAACATCAAAGCAAATTGGAACAAGTATGCTCCCAGCTTTCTAGTAAAATATAATTTTCAAAATCTGGCTTGTCATTATCAGGAAATGGTGTATTACTAGCTACACTTTAAAAGGCCCTAGATTCTGCACTTATCTAATGTGAAAAAATAAACATGTTTCAAAGTGGGTTGAAGATAAAACTGAGTGATGGTGTAAGTTTTAGTTTGAAATAATTTTGAACACAATCATATTTTTTTCTCTTTACTTACCAATTTTTACTCTACAGCAGTAAAGACAAAATAGAAAGAAAAGAGTTGGCCAAGTTTGACAGATGCAAGAAGATGTTTTTTTTTTTCGAAAAAAGTGTGCGTTTTCTAAAAAAGATGTTACATTTTTCCTAATACCGCAAAATTCTCTCAATTTTGATGAATATTAACATTGGATTTGTTATGACATTTAAGTATTTTTTACAATTCAAACTGCTATACAGGAAGCACAATTTTCATATTTAAGGGACAGCTCTATGAGGAAAGGAAAAAAGTGTTTCACATGTACTCCCAATGATTAACAGCTTCATTTGCGTCAAGTTACTTACTTTGAGAAAGCATTGATGAGTATCACCAAAATCTTTTAACTGTGAGGAAATGTCTCCTAGTAAGATAAGAGTTTTGGACTGAAGACTTTCGGGCGGGGATAGACTCTCCACCAATTTAAGTGTTTTAGCCGCTTCTTCCAGCCTCCCTTGCTTTTTCAAATGAGCACCATCCAAATACCGCATGAGGGCTGGTGATGCTTCGCCAGTAACCTCGAGTCTTTTGTAGTATTCACTAAATATGTCCAATTGGTTCAGTGTCAAATTGGCCAGGCAGTAGTTCTCCAGCAAAAATGGGTCGAAAGGCGTTTCAATCAATCTCTGTAGAACGAAAAAGAAGAAAAAACCACTGCTATAAATATAAAATTGAGAGCCGATGCTAATAGTATGGATTTGCAACCCCTACTTTTTTTAAATTCGTTTTTTGAAAGTATCGAGTGAACTAAGCTCTTAAGAATTTTTCGGATTATTTTTAACAGTAAATGGCAAAAAAAGCCCGTTTAGAAAATGCCAACCATGTTTTTAGCGGGCGCTGCAAATGGCATTTGCTGAATGGCTGAACTCATCGTTAAGCATCACCTTGCTACGTCAACTCTACTGTCGGCTTAAGTTAGCTTTTTCTTCTCTTAGATATAATTATTTGAACTTTTAAATAAACTTTTTGGTTTTCTTCACAGGATTTTACAAAAAAAAAACACTTCATTCTCTTTGAAAAAATAAAATAGGAGCAGAGATTTTGAAACACCGCAGTAGAGGCGGTATCCCACTTTAGCCATCTATATGATAATGTAGAGCAATATGGTCTACGATAGGAAAATTACGGACCTTGAGGCACACGTTTTTACCCTCCAGAACATCTTCCTCGGCATCGCAGTTGCAGGCTGATTCGACTATCGCTTTCTCTATGATCAGTTTCACTCGTGTCTTTGTTTCCACGCTAGTTCTTGATTTTTCCAAGTAGCTCAAAGCGGCTAGCGAGCAGTACAACCCTCCTTTGTAGCAAAACAGTGCTAAATGGGCACGAGCTAAGTGAAGCCATCCCCACCACGATTCAGGTTTTCCGGTCTTCACAGCTAGAGAGACACAACAGAAGGATTTTATTACGATGTTTTATGATACATTAAAGAATGAACCGGAATATTCTGTCCGCAGAAAGAAATGCATCTTTAAAAATTGCCTGATTTATAACATTACACCCATTAGCTAAAAATACAGCTGCCAAAACTAATGATAGAATCTTTGTTGGGGATGAGCCCCTAGACAGAGTATTAGTTAAGTAAACTACCACGAGACATGTTTTTTTTTTTTATCAAAAGAAGGGGAATCCATAAGGGGCCGTTTATGGGCTTACCCGGAGTTTCCTCAACTCTACAATTTTTTGCTCATTGAACATCCATATTTCATAGAATGAATCATTATTTGATCAGTTTCAGTCTCTTTTCTGGCCTTCGCAGTTTTGGGGTCGACTGCTGAAAAATTCGCATTTTTCGCCAAAATCGGCCATCAGACCTGTGTTAGTGCCAATATTAGACCCGAAAAGTAACAAAAAATTACCAAATTATGATGCATTTTGTGAGATATGAACATTTGATGAGAAAAGAAATCGTGGAGTTGATGAAATTCAGCTTAGGTGGACCAAAAAACTGTCCTTATTGACACCCCTCCTTTCATATGAAACCAAACCAAAATCAACTGATGGAAAATGGTCATTGAACATAAAATACAAAGCATGATACCTTTACAAATACGAAGATTTAAAAATCACAAAAATTTCCTTCTTCTGTAGATGTATTATACAGAACAACTTACAGAGAAAAATTCAGCTCTTTGAAAACGGTCCTGTCTGAAAAAATGGGTGAAGCTTTTGTGTCTCTCATGCAGCGGCACCGATGCTCCTATGCCGAGTCAACTCTGATTTATGGTCGCCAAAATTCTATAAACTATACTGAAAATCGACATTATCACAGATACATATCTCCTCCGTGCTGTTTCAGTATTTCTACGAGTATTTTATTTTTTTCATGGGAGAACCATCGCATGAATCTGTTTGAAAATTTTAGTGTCTTTCCTCGCAAAAGTAAAGCAAAATCATCCAAAATTTTAAGCAGATCCATATAGTTACTCTCCAAAAAAAAAAAAAAAAATCCTAGTAAAAAGTACTGAAACAGCGCAATCGAGATATGTCCTTTCCAGGGGGAGACAGCGAAGTATACCAATTGTATCAATGGTTATGCTATTCTTCAGGAAAAGCAAAATCATCAAAAATTTTAAGCAGATTCATATAGTGGCTCTCCAAAAAAAAAAAAAAAAAAAAAAATGCTAGTAAAAAGTACTGAAACAGCGCAATCAAGATACGTACTTTCCAGGGGGAGACAGCAAAGTATACCAATTGTATCAACGATTATGCTATTCTTCACGGAAAAAAATCAAGAACTAACCTTTATTTAATGAGAATCTTGCATCAGAAAACTCAGCTTTCGAGAATAAATCGACACCTTTAGTTATCAGGGCATCATGTTCTTGCTTTGGATCAATTGTGACCAATTTATCCGCGTATTCATTTATCTTGAGTTTGATATTATCAGGAATGACCTCATTTAGAAGGGAGAGTTTGTAGAACCCTTTACATATTTGTTTCAAAGGGAAAATTTCTGATGGAAGTTTGGTGGTCATATCCTCTGCCTCCATGAAGAATTCACAGTAATGCTTGAGTTTATAGAGGATCTTCAGGTATTGGATTCGGAAGTGGGTTGCTTCTTTTTTGCTGACTAGGATCTGGTAAACGTCCTTCAGCTGAAAATGAGGGCACTTGATAAGCATGGAAGCAATGGAAGAAAAAAACTCAACTAGTACTAAAACTAATTGGATGGATTTACCACCATCAGCCAAACATCATTTCACGTTACCTAATTTTTGCTCATGTTTTATTTTGTTAGTGAAGAACTAAACAGCTTCACACCTTGAAATTTCCTGCGAATTCACCCTTGATTATGAGGAATATTCTCACTAAATTTCAAGTTTCAGTGTTGCTTACTTCTCTGTTTCAAAAATTAAACATCAGTGAAAATTAGGCAACATCTGATGTTGTTATAGCTCTAATATTGTTGTCTGTTGTTGAGCTCTAATGTAGCTCTGTTGTTGATTAAATCTGTCTAAGTGTAGCCGAAGATATTTTCATTCTTTTAATTATGTAAAAGTCAATCTCTTCCAGCAACTAATCCAACACTGGAACCTGGGATCTTATGAAACAGAAGCGGCAGGTGAAAATTTTTTTTATTTCAATGGTATGATTTCTGAATCTCAAGTATAGAGAACACACACATGTGAAAGTGCTCCACCAAATTAAAAAAAAAAAAAAACAGAAACGACTTACAAACCTTACTTACCTTTACTTGTTAGTCTAAAAACGGAGCAGGTAATATCACCATAAAGGGATACAGTAAAGCACCGATTATCCATTCTTCATTTATCTGTTAATTCACTTATTGGGCGCGGTTTTTTTACCATTAAAATGCCACATTCCAAGACATGACTTGATGGAAACCAGTGTCTTCGGCAAAAATTGAAAATATGAGTGGTTTTTTTGTAATTCATTTTTCACTTAAATGGCTGATTTTTATAATTACGATAGAGAATTGGCCAAGGTTGTGCTTTCTGGTAACAAACAGAGCTTGAAATGACTTTTTTTTTGTCTTTGTTTGGTGGTCTCAATTATCAGTTATTTTAATTATCTGGTGCGGACCTCCACCACACTGCACCGGATGTTCGGTGCTTTACTGTACACCAATGATTCCATTAAGTTTTCAATTGAAAAAAAAAATCCAAAATATCTTACTTAGTTCAAAAAGAGAAAAAATATTTCAGAATTTTCATCGAATAACCTCATAAGAATTAGAGCTTCAGACAATATTGCTGCTGATTTGAGCATAAGTCATTTCAAATATTTATTTTTGATCTGTCAGCACACTTTTACAAGTGAGTGTTATGGTGGAATATCAGAAGTCTTTAATGATATATTCAGCTTTTTTGAACTTGATTACTGATTAGTCACCCTTAAAACATAATTATTAGCTTAGTTACAGCCTTTTTGTAATTGTTTCACTCCAGGTTTAAGCATAATTTAAAGGCTGTAGAAAACGACTGACTGGATTACGTGGAATGGATGGGAAAAAATAGGATGCCCAATATAGTGTTTCTAAAAAAAAAAAAAAATTAGCCCTCGAAAAGTTGTGGTTTCCACACAAAAATGTGTTTCCATGAATTGAAAAAACAGCTATGGTAGAGTTTCAGAATTTTGGTGTAGTCTAAGTGCTACTGAATTGCATGTTTTGCAAAAGTAGTCCATCAGAGGTCTCCTATTTCAAATTTTGGGGACTCAAGCATAGCTGCTTCATCCCTCAAAAAAATCATCAAATCGTCAAATTCGTCAAAGTTCAAGTCCATTATTTTAAAAAATATAAGCTACAGCAGTACTTAGACACCCTGATGCCCAAGAAAGTACTGATCGCAAAAGTGCATTCGGTGAATAAAAGAGGAAGGTCTGGTCTTTCGTGGCTAGGTAGTGAAGAACAAGACCTGAAGGAGATGAGTGTGAAAGGTTAAAGTGAACAAAAGGACCGAGTATTATGGAGAGGCATAGTACAGGAAATCAAGGCCCACCCATGGCTGTGGCGCTGCTTATGAGTGTGAAAGTAAGAGAAATTACGACTAAGATCAAGCACATTTCATACTCAAGAACACTATGACGTTAAATTTTTTTAGACGACTGCTAGGTGTTTTGAGTCATCTAATTCAAGTTCCTACATATCAACGGTGTAAGTCGGCAATCACATAACTCAGTTTGCGACGTTGCAGACTTCCTGTCATTCTTTATTTTTTAAACGGAAAACTATTCAACGACAATTCTTTAAAACTGCCGTGATTTTTCTTCTCTGTGCGAAGATAATTCTGCAAAAACTTCAAGGAATGATGTCAATTTGTTCTCCTTTAAAAAAATAACAAGGAGGCAGAGATTTTCAGACACCGCAAACGAGTTATGTGATTGCTGACTTACACCGTCGATATAGGACCTGTATTCTGACCCTTGAACGAAGATAAAAGTTGGGAATAACATACGTATATTAGCTGATCTTCTGGCCATTTTGCTGCACAAATTCTTTGCAGGGCTTTCAAGCAGAATTCCAGCTTCAAGCCAACACCATTTCGGGCTATACTTGCAAGTAAGGGTACGGCTGCACTTAGGTCACCTTTGCGGTCACATAAATCCAAGAACTTGTTGACATGATCTTGCCATGCAAACACATCCCTAAGACAAGAAATAGCAATGACGTTAAAACAGTATGTTAGGATGAAGGCAGTAACTTGATATGCACTTACTGAGTAAAGGAGGCATGTTTTGAGAGATAAACCTTATAAATGCTCAAAATATAAAGAAATTGTCCCAGTGCTTAGTTTTGACATCTAATAATGACAGGGGTATCCCTAGTAGCAGAACCATAGAAGGAAAAGATAAAGATTATGTACGAAAGTTAATTTTTTTTATATAACGCATGCATGCGAAAGTGTTAAAAGTGAACATTTTTATGTAACCATTATATAAAAAAAGGCATAATTTTCGTGAGCTTTTCGCAAACATACTAAAAAATCTTCTAATTTGCGAAAAGCTCGTGAAAATGATGACCTTTATTTTTGTATAATAGTTACATAAAAATGTTCACTTTTAACACTTTCGTATGCATGCGTTAAATAAAAAAATAATTTTTTTTTTTTTTTTTTTTTTTTTTTTTTTTATTAAACATATCAACTTCTGTACAGAAATAAGATATTTAGATGTAACTTAAAAATAAATAACGGTTATCGACTGAAAATATATACAATTATACAGACTTTTTCCTAACTTGGATGCCCTGGGACGAGCATCGCAGAGCCCATAGAGAACGGTGTAGTTCCCGGTATCTGCGGTGTCCGACCCCGAACAACCGGAACAGCATTATACTAACCACACAGTGATGAGTATAAACCTAACATTTAACAGTGAAATTTTGATACCATATACTTTGTACAGAAAAAAGAAGAAAAAAAAAAAAAAACTTACCTTTTACCTTATCTAGCTTTTATCATTTTCCATATGTTATGGTCAGACCTGAACTTTGGTTTTCTTTTATATGAACGTTACAGGTTTTTTATATAAAACTACCATTTAGATAACAGATAAGTTTTTTGTATACTTTTTTTTAGAAAAACAAAAATTTGTTCTGCTGCTAGAGATCACTTTGTCAAAACAAGCTGATTGGTGTTTCTCCCTTGAAAATTTCATTAACTTTTTGACTGGAAAAAGCAGAACTGATTTCATTCATCATTACTGACTGATGTGACTCAATGGAAGAAACCATGGTGTGAACAGCATTATTTGTGTAAAGGGTGAGATTGTCTAAATAGGTTTGGACATAAATTATCAATGAGAATGTGTGCAGGAAAAAATCTGCACCCTTAAAATAAATAGATAAAAATACTGGCTGAAAGCAATGCTGAGATCAGTATCTGTATACGACTAAAGGAGGGGAAGTGCTACCGAATAACAATGAGAACCACTTACGCCTCAGCCTGGAGTAATCCAACGTAGATTGGGATCAATTGATTTGTTTGATCCGATGATGTATCCGTCAGATAATATCCCAGCAGATGATACCATGCTTCAAAATTCTGTGGAGCCACCAATGTTGCTTTACGGAACGCTTTGAGAGCCTGGTCAGTCAAGTCCCGCTTCAATAACACCAAACCAATCTTTACGAGCGCTTTGTAGTTTGCTTGATCTGCTTGCAATATTTCCTGAAATAACAAAACATCTGGTTAGAACTAGTATAAAACCTTGACATGCACCAAACCAGAACATGGATTTTGAGTATAGAATAACAGGGTTCCCACGATTCCTTCATTCACCGATTTCCTGGCTTCTCTAGCATTGCCCGAGAGTTTCTAAAACTCCAGACTATTCTCTGACCTTTGATCAAATACTCTCTAATAAATTTTACTTTGTAATAAGTAAATTAGGGTCATTTCCATCTCTGGCATAGAGAAAAAAAATGTGTTCGGCATCTTGGATTTTCTTGATGGCGTAGGTCGGTGCGGGCAGTTTTTATCAACGATTTTCTTGAAAATGGTGTAGTCAATAGAAAAGTCTTTCTACATGGTGTTTGAAGTTATATAATAAGTTGATTTAAGCAAATAAACAGACGTTCTGGTCCGTTTTTCATACTTCGAATTGCAGATTTTGCTGGAATATTGACACTATGTTAGTCTGACCAGTCACATGGTAAACAAACCTCACGATGCAAACACCTCCTTTTCTTTCTCTAAGCACTTCTGAAGATTGAACTTCAGGAATAAGGGACTTAGGTTGTTCGCGCTTTCTCAGATGGCACCAGCTGAAGTTGTTGAGCCGACATGCTACTCATCTTACCCATTTCATGCAATCTAGTGGAACGCTTGGATTACTCTTACAAGATGGATGTCGAGAGGTTACATTCAATTCTAACCTGGAGCTAGCCTGGATCCATCACGTTCCATAGATAAAAAAAGTGCTAATAGAGTGGCAGTGTTCGACAATAGTTTTCTCCAAGATCTATTGTGACCATTTATAGGGGGTAGGGTTCTGCATTCACATACCTGCTGATAATTCAGGGTTACTTAATCATATTATGAGACTACTGATTAAACACCCTATGAATTATCAAAAATTGATAAAGCCATCGCACGAACAAGCATTGACGAGCATGTCGTACTTGAAGGACGCCGATTGAACAATCAAGGATATCATCCAAAAAGTAAGAAAAGACATGATGTGATACAAGCACTGTAGGTACTCGCGCTACCTTGTGGACTTGAAGGTAAAAAGATAAAGGAGATTTCAATGTGTTAAACGGAGAATGAACCACTGACTTTGCAAATCTTCAGCGCTGCTTTCAGGTCCCCCTCCACAAGGGCTGCATCAACTGCCTGTAACTTTTGATCTATGACGTCTTCCTCCATTATTATGGACACAAATTTTAGTGATATTCAAAAGAGTTACAACCAAAGACATAAAGACGGAGCACTAAAAGCAAAAAATGAAGCTTCTAGAGCTTCTTTTCAATCACCTCTACTATTGGCTAGAGGATTGGCGGCGAAATCGGGACAAGTTTGAATTCAAATGTAGGGCGGGAACTAATAAATAAAATTGCGGAAACAAAGTATTTTAGGTTGATTTTTGCCCAAATTCAGGTAC